TGAGTTATGTTGGATATATTCGTGGAAAAGCAACAGTTTTCAATTTCACTGCTGGAGAGAATTGCTAATTAACGTACTTTTACTCGTTGTGGCTTGGTCTGCATGAAGCTGTGCCATGATTGATGCTGTGGGAGAATTTTGCATTTGCCAGTTGTGCTGCTTGACACGTGGTGCATGTTGCCACAATACTGGCGATTCGAATGGAAGTTTGTCTGCGATGCGGTTTATGCGGTTCGTTGGTGTGCTGCGCAAATTTCAGCTTTCTCCCTTCGCTTAACCTTAAATTTCGTCCTTTCATGCTAAGATACTGGAACATAACACACAATAGTCTTGTAAAGCCGCATGGCCACGTATGTCCCAGGTTTTTTCTTGGAAGTGTGATTGCACTTACGTAAATTTTTACTACTTGGCTGCTGGCGGGAAGGTCGCGCGTTTGATTTCAGGAGGGCCCGTGTATGGCGTGACGTCAGTGCGCGTTAAACCAGATGGTTGAAGCTTCCGGAGCCCTCCACTACGGCGTCTCCCATAATCACATTGTGAGTTTGGGATGTAAAACCCCAGATATGATTATTATAGAAATTTTGATGCAGTACGAATTTGTGAAAGTACATGGGCAGAGGTGCGTATCACGCGGCATGTAGTATTGTGCAAGTTTGTGTGACTGGGTGGTACAGTCAAACCTCGTTATAACAAACTTTGGAAAATTTGCAAAATAGTTTGCTATAGTCCAAATTTGCTATACAAAACTGCACAAAAAAATCACCAAACTGTGGTTTGACTAAGTCAGCAGCATGACAGGAATTGACAAGAGACTTACTTGAACAAAAATACATTTATTGAGACGAAAAGAACCTGTGCAACGTGGCTTTTTTTTTTTATTATTGATGGCGTGCCGTATAATGCCTTGCTCTGCCATGTTGAGGCATTCCACAAAGTTGAGCCCCGGTGCCTTCCATCGCGCTGCAATAGCGCCACGCCAGAGCCAAACCAGCCAAAGCCTCACTAGAAGTTGGCAGCGGAAGGTTTTTGGAGACTGCATCTTCAACTTCCGCTGCTTGAATCCCAGTTCGCTGGAGTGTCACCTCGGCATCGATTGCCACGTCAGATAGTTCGGCAACCGCTTCTGGCGCGTCGTCGCCAACGATGTCGTCCAATGTGAGCGTGTCCGACGCATCGCCCACAAACCGCGAAAAATCGCTCCACATTTTGTCAAGCTCGACAACCTCTTCAGAGCCTTCAACATCTTCAGTGGGCTCTTCAACTGCCTCAGCGCCAACGGTGAAGCCAGCGTGCCAAAAGCAGTTCCCGATTGTCTATTTCTTCACACTCTCCCAAGCGGCCTTCAACATCTGTATGGCACCCAACAAGTCAATTTTCAGGTCTTCGTTCATTCGAAGACGAATTAGCAGTCGCTCGATTTGCCTTCGCTTGTAAAGCGCTTAGAAGGCGCGGATGATCCCTTGGTTTAGAGGCTGGAGCTTGGAGGTGGTGTTGGGCGGAAGAAGCTTGAGCTCAATATTGCTCAGTGGAACATCTGCTGAGTGTGCCGAGCAGTTGTCGACGAGGAAACACACTTTCCTGCCTTCATTTCCAAGCTGCGTATCCCACTCTCTCAGCCATTTCCCAAACAACTCTCGTGTCATTCATGACTTTCGATTGGAAGCATAGGTGACTGATAGGTCGCGGCAGCGTCTCATACGGTTCGGCGTTTTGAACTTGTTGATCACGAATTGACGAAGTTTTGTCGAACCATCCATGTTTGCGGCAAGTAGGACCGTGATCCGGGCCTTGTTTTGCTTGCCAACATGACATTACTGCCCTCGGGTGTCCAGAGTTTGGCGTGGCAGCATCTCCCAGAAGAGGCCCGTTTCGTCCGGGTTGAAAATATCTTTTGGATGATATCTGGCTGAATTTGAGGCCACTCTTTCATCCACTTGTCCATCGCTGCGGCATTCGCCGACTCGCTTTCGCCTATGACAGCTTTTCCGACGATGTCGTACCAATTCTTAAATCGTTGCAGCCACCCCGCACTGGCACTGAAATTTTTGGCATCGAGTATGAAAGTGAAGTCTCTTGCCTTTTGCTGCAGCATTGGCCCCGACACAGGAATATTCCTAGCCCTTACGTCGACAAACTATTTATGAAGACATTCTTCGACGTGTTCGTAGGCAGCGAGTCGAATACGCCGTGCGTTGGCATGTTTTCCGCTGTCTTGCTGAACAATTTCCTTTTTCTGCTTCAGCACCGTGCTTAATGTGCTGCAAAGTATTTTGGGAGCATCAGCAACGACTGACTTCTTTTCACCTCTTTCGGCACGCCAAATAATTTCCAGTTTCGTCGCTTACGTCAAGGCAGTCCGTTTCTTCTCGTTTTCGGCCATGGCGACGGTGTACGACACCGCCTAGTATCACAAAAGCGTGCAAACAAAGAAAATGCCACACACACCCAACGACAAAGCGACCGCTAGCTCAGAATGGCGGCGTGCAAACTGACGCGTCTGTTGCAGAATATTCTTTTGAAGCGGGCCAGACTATCGAAGAGGACGAAGTGGGTACAGGCACACGCTAGTAAAGGACAGCTTGGGCTCCATGACGAATGGGTCGTCTCCGCCAAACGTCTGCGGACCATTCATTTGTTACATTTGGTGCCGAAACCCGGGATCAGTTGCTTGAGCCTGCATTCTGGCAATCCTCTCACGTTCTTGAAGCCAGAACTTGGCGCGCGACACCGCGTAGAGAATTTTCTCGTACTCTTGCGCCATTCCTACTTCGTTGTCCAGGACTTCATCTGTAGTCACAAGGATTATGTTGTCGAGCTTCGATAGTACTTGTCTTTGAGGTAATCCATGTGACTGGTAATCTGAGAGGCGTCAGGATCTGGTTGCAGCAGGAGGTTCGTAGCTGACCACTTTCAAACGAGTACGTGGCAACCGGATGAGATCAGTGTCATCATAGGATCCGACGCCTATTGGAAGGTCACCACCGGCAAATTTGACTACGTAACTGAAACGCTAACAGCAATAGAGAATGTTTGGCTGGATGGTTCAGGGATCCTTGTCGTCTGACAGCATCCAGTGCCTGTCTAGCACACTGTTCGTCTTGAGCAGCAATCCTTCTACAGCGCACACAGATATGTCTTCGATGTAGCGGTTCGGGGCCATCAGGAGCGATAAAGTGTCTTTACGAACCTCAAATAAGCACCAGGATCTATCTGTATGAGAGCAAGGTATCTCCTCAGGAAAGAAGTGCCATCTGCCTGACTACACGGTTACTGGCGGCAGGAACTTGGCAGACGCGGAGCCGCTGAACAAGCACGTCGATGCTCGTCACTCCGTGTGTGTCGACGTCGTCAGCGCCAGCGTGTTCATGGTGACGCCGTACTTAAACAACTCGTCTCAGACCGGCCACCTTTTGGGCAACCACCACGACAGGCATCGCGTCTTCGTAATTCTGCGTGCCAAGCACGTCAGCATAACGCACATCAAGAACACCCTTCATCTCATCAGCATCGGTTCCGGAGACAGAAGGGGTACGACAGCCACGAATCAACGGCCGTAGTGCACAGGCACTCCCGGTAGCAAAGCAACTGCATTTCAACACAAACTGCGTTCTCGGTGGGTACGATTCTCCTTGGCCCCCCTGGAATGATCTTGAATAATAATCCGAATTGGAGCAACCTGGAGTGGCCCAGACTTCATCGAAGCGTGCGAGTCATCTCGGCCCCCCTGGGAGGATGTTGCAGAATATTCTCTTGGAGCGAGCCAGACTATCGAAGAGGACGAAGTGGAGACAGGCACACGCTAGTAAAGGACAGCTTGGGCTCCATGACGAATAAACGGGTCGTCTCCGCCTAACGTCTAAGGACCAGTTATTTGTTACAGCGTCCACGCCATCAATCGTCAAGACCGCTCCATTCTACCGGCGCGTCAGGCGCATGCGATTTTAGTAAACGGCTGTATCCGTATCCTTAGAGAGTGAAGCTTGCCGATCTCGGGAGCCATAGAAAAAAATATCGCCGTTTGCCGTTTACGCCGCTACACCACGTAACGCGCTACAGGCGCATCGGATGTATATGCAGGTCTGCCTGACTGTCGCTGTGCTGCGGAGAAGCCGAACGTGCGCTCCCGAAGCGGTCCGGGAAATTCAGTATATCCATTGCGCGCTCGAGTTCGTTCGCTATAAAAATGCCAACATACATGTAATTCTTTATGCTTTCTATCGGTAGTTCGACATAGCCAATAATTCGTTATATACATGTTCGTTATGCTGAAGTTCGACTGTAACTCTCCTTGAGCTGGGACTAGCTAGTTGGTCATAGCACCTCTGTGTTTTAGGGGCGAAGCTCCTTAAGGTGTGGGTTGTTCCCTCGTAGTGGTAGTATGTTGTAGTAGTAGCCACTTGTACTTAGTTTTAAGAATTGCTCATTAGATGGCATTGTGTGTATATGTGCTTGGAAATAATATCACTAGATGACCTTAGTGGTTTTCATATAGAAATTCACAGCATATCCACGGAGTGAATGGTGATGAGTGGGGCGAAGCGTTTGTCCATAGCTCCGTCGCAGACGGACGGACGGACAAATGATTCGCTCCAGTCATCATCATTCAGTCCATGGATATGTTGTGAAATTTTTTATTGACAATTTTTATGAAGGCACTATTTCTCGACTTTATTGCTGGGAGATAGTCAAGGCATATCACATGCACATAGATAATGGCTCATTGTCTTCTATCACATTGCTTCAAAATTAAACTTTTTGAATGGGTTGTTTTCTGGTGTGAACCATGTAACCTTAATTTATATTATGGTATGCAATAAGATTTCAGTTCTGAGTCACCGCTCATGTTGCCCAGTTCTTTGTCCCTTGTCTGTGCCATGCTGCATGTCCAACCAAACATGTATTGAAGCTCTTAAAGCCCTTTATAATTCATTCAATGCCAATATAGAGGAACAGTTTTCGTTGTGTTCCGACTTGTAACTGTGAAACTTTCTCTCCTGCAGAAATCAAAGGAAAGAACTTAACGATATCCGATTTGAATTCACCCGCGACAAAGGTGAGTGTAGCAGCTCCGGGTTACTAGTGGCATGAGAAATATACTTTTTTCTTGCAATGATAAATTGGGTGTGCGCGCTTGTTATGTAGCTGGTAAGACCTCGGAGAATGATCAGGAAAGCTGAAAGTCATTTTAGCATACTTGTGGACACACGACTGTGCTTTCATCAACTCAATTATTACCGTATTTACTCGCGTAATCCTCGCACTCGCACAATTCTCGCACCCCCGGAAACTGCTGCAATAATGTCGTCTGCTCTTTTCAGCCACTGATGATGATAGTGCACTTCATCTGATGCCATCTCTTAAGCATCAAGCGTACTATTGCACAGAGATTCAATCCAACTCAAGCCAAGCCGAAGTGGCCAGTGCGCGTTTCGGCGCGTTTTGTATGTTGCGTCGGTAACCTTGTCAAGTTATGAGGCAATACTAAAGCTGTACGGCTGCTTTCAAGTTGCAAGTGATAGATAATGCACTAAAGAACGGCAACAGGGCCGCCGGTAGGCCCTTGGGATTGATGGTAAACTTTATTTCTTAAGAAGGAAACTGCGGACAATTCTGTTAAATAAACATCATCCCAATACTGACGTCCCACGCTTACCTTTTGAAGGCTCCTGGTGAGCGACGAACGCTACCGCTACGCCCGCAATGTCCGCAAGCTTTGCGTATGGTATTCTAATTCTCGGCTATTTGCTTCCACTTGTTGTGTCTCAATTAAATCTTGTCTTGTGTTGAACCTCTGCTTTTATTGTTGAGGTAAGTTTTAATGAGTACTTCTTAAAGCTTGCTGTTAGTTGTTGGTGTGAGAATCCCAATTTGCGGCCACTTCGTTTTCTTTTTCGCTCGGTGCGTTTTCGTAGAAAGTTTTCGCCGTGTAATTCTCACACCCCCCAACTTTTCATCGGTTTTCCGGCAAAAAAAGTGCGAGGATTATGCGAGTAAATACAGTAAGCATTAGCCAGCCTTGAATAAATAAATGTTGTGATACAGTTGAACCTTTTATAAGAGACATGCACCAGGAAGCAATTCCTGTCTTTCATATGAGGCGTCTCATATGATATAAGCAGGGTACCACGCATGCATTTTTTTTTTATGAACACGGATAACAGTGCAGGTGCAATGGTGTCTCTTATAACCCATCTCTCTTGTAAAAGGGTTCGACAGTATCGTGTGTTTTTATTAGTGCATAAATTGTGGCATGTGGGTACTCAAGTTGGTAAATGAAGATGGATTGTTTTTGTTTTCTTTTTGTTTGTTTTCACGTCGCTGTGCTTGTGTGGCACTATAAGCAAAGAGGTTTCTTGTGCGCTCAGCAGATGGCACTCTGCCAAATTAAATTTTTACTGACGTCGTGCGCGCTCGCGCTGCTCACAACTGCTTAGCGCGATTGTTAAACTATGTTTTTACTTTTATTGTGTCATTATATTGTTATGTAATGGTGTAATTTAACGTTGTTTCAATTGTCGACACAAGCTATCTCACCGAAATAAAATGAACAGATAAAGCCAAACCACTTTATAGGGTACACTGATATAAGAAACAAATGGGTATACGAGACACCATTATGCCTACAGTAAAATACTGGGGATATGAAAATGCATACAAGGTCCCCTGCTTATAAGAGACATCTCGTATAAAAGACAAGAATTGCTGCCCAGAGCATTCCTTTTATAAAGGGGTTTAACTGTACATGAAAAAGTTGATTTTTTTTTTCCAATGACCGGGGGGGGAGTTATGTCAGTGAATACGGTACAATCAAACCCCTTTATAAAAGGCACTGATGTAAAAGAGAAATGGGTGTAACAGACACCGGCGCACAAAAAAATGCATACCTGCTTGTAAAAGATGCCTCATGTAAAAGACAAGGATTGCCCGCTGATGGTTGTCTCTTATAAAGGGGTGCAACTGTATCCTGACACTTGCTCTGTCAAGTCTATGGCTCCGTCAGCCCAATTCTTTTTCACTGAATAAGGATTACATCTGCCCTAGCAGATGCCGTTGAGAGTCTGTGATGTTAATCTGCTTGCCAAGCATCTTTCTGGGGCAAGAGTGGTGCTCTTAGTATTGTTTTTAAAACGCTTGTTCACTGATATCTGAACAGTGATTTTTCTGTTGGTTGTCCCATCGAGATGAAGCTTTGCCTTTGGGCCAAATGCAGTTTCTTTAACTGAAGTGTGCAGAAGCATTCTCATTATTTATTCACCAAATTAGTGTGAATGAAACATTCTGCTGAATTCTTGCTGCTGGGGCTAATTTATATTGGTACGCCTCATTATGTGCGCTGCTTGCTGCATGTCTTCGTGGCTTACAGCTGCGCGTGGAACCAACGCAAGCTAATGTGTGGTTTATTTTTGCAGATACTCCTGACGGCATTGCTTCCGAGCTTGTTGGTGCAGGCTTGGTCGACGGGAAGGACGTCGTCGTCGGTGAGTGAACTTTGCACTCGGACAAACAGGTGGCCAACTAAAAATTTTCAGCTGTTGAGCTGCAAAATTGCAAAACGATTTCTCTACTGTTTGTGCAGTGGCTGCCAACCTGCAGAAGCTGATTGACAACCAGATCATGAGGACAACCACATTTGCCTTGGTAAGATGCTTCTAAAAAGCCAATGAGAGTGCATGTGATTAAATGGCATATTTATTTATTCTTACAACTGTATATGGTACTGTTACAGGGGGTCAATAACGGTCGGCCATTTGTTGTTTGCACACTTGGGTACAGAAGCGCATAATGTCATGCAATACTAGAATTTACATCTACCGCTTGTATTTGAAAATATATTCCAGTTTAATTGTGGCATCATGACATAATCACCTATCTCGAAATATTTTTCAACTAGTATTTTGTATGAGCCTACAAGACTTAATGTGTGTCGCTGAACAAACATAGGCTGGTTTTGCTTGTCGTGGTCATGTAGTTTTATGTGCAGTTGGGCCATGAATACCATAAAATCCGGAATATAGGTCGACCTCCCAAACTTTGAATCTCTGAAGAAAAACCTTTTAAAAATCACACAGGGTCACGGCACAACCCTACCTTGGTAAATACGAGACACAACCAATTGCACTGTGGCGACATTTCTTTTTATTTGGTCACTGATTTTATGTAGTCAAACGCCAGAAGGCCACAAAGTGCTCTCACTCGGGCTCATCCGAGCTTGAGTCTGATGAAGTCTGTTTTTCACTAGTAACTCCAGAGTGCATCATCCTCCACTCTGTCCAATGCGTTACTGTTTCAGCATTTGCGAACAGACTAAAGTACGCCGCCTCAGCGCAAATTTGGAAGTTAGCGCTCGTGTACTTCATGTCCTTCATGACTCTGTGTCGTTGTTCTGTTCTCGCACTATAACTATCCTCAGCGCAAAGCCCTTCCGCTTCATAAATTGGTGCACCCACGATGGCGATGCCTTGAATTTCACCTTCGTGAGCCCATAGTCGCGCGATATCTCGAAAGCTTTCACGCAGATGCACTCCGCTGTTACGGGCAGCGACCTTGCACGCAGCTCCCAGACGAATTCGGCGAGTAGCGTTTCCATTTCAGGGTGCACTGCAGTTTGTCCACGAAACTATGTTGTTTTTAGGGGCCAAGCTCCTTAGGGTGTGGGCTGTGCGTCCCCTGTAGCCTGTATGTAGCCACCTCTAGTTTAGTTCTTGCAGTGTTCACTAGATGGCGGTACCGTCCCCTGTATGTAGCCACCTCTAGTTTAGTTCTTGCAGTGTTCACTAGATGGCGGTACCGTCTCCTGTATGTAGCCACCTCTCGTTTAGTTCTTGTAGTGTTTACTAGATGGTGGTACTTGTAGCTGATGATGAAAAGATGCAAGATGTTATAAACTAGAAAGCGGTACTTGTAGTTGATGAAAGACGCGAGATCTTATAAAATAGGAATGATGTCACATATGGCGCGTGTCATTGGTTGAAGGCAATCGTTCGATTTAGTGCGGCGACGTACGCTAGGGGGAGCGATGTAATAAAATCGAGTGGGCAAAATGTACAGAGGATTCATGGTTTACCAGGTTTACCTCCGGAGCTTCGCCCACTCATCATCATTCACTTCGTGGATATGGCGGAATTTTTTGTTATTGTTGTTGTTGTCACTTTAGGATTTGATGCGCTGCTTTTGGCTCCTCCAGTATCGGACGCTTTTCTCTGATGCACCGAATTCCCATTGTGCCACCAGGTTGCCGTGCACTTCAGCATACTCGATAACTTTTTCTTAAAGGGGCCTTTCAACACTTTCTAAGTATGGTCAGAAAACGCTGCCGATCGGTAGTGGAGGCTCCCAACAACACGCGAGCCCAATATTATAGCGCAGCACGCGGCTTGGAATTCACAATAAATTATCATTTTTCTGTTGCCCTGCATCCCTCCCCGCTTAGCTTCTAACGCTTTCGTTGGGACGAGAGAAGAGAGAATGCAATTGCAGCATGCGACAAACCTTTGTAACTCCACTCGCACTGGACGGATTCTTAAAATTTTTGCGGCGTAGAATTCGTGAGGCAAAAAGCTCTTCCAGTGAATTCATTCCATGGTTACTCGAAAAAGTGTTTCAGAGCCCCTTTAAAGTCTATCGTAAGCTGTTGTCGACTACCACTAATTTTTGAAGGAAATAGAAAAAAGAAAATAGCAGACTGACAGCATATAACTGAGGCTGAGATAAATTGTTGCAAGATTCGCCTTTCTTTTCTGCGAGTGACCATTATACAAAACGAGGCACAACTTTTCATTGCATTTTTCTGAAAAAAAAAAAAGTTTGACCCATATTCCGGTTTTTACAGTATGTTTATAGTTGTCAAACCTAGATACACAGCGAACTCCCTATTTTTGTGTCATGACTGAAGCTGGATCACATTATCAGTGGTCTTTCCAGCTAAAATTGCGTTGAAGTTTCTCTCCTGTTTCTAACCATGGCCATATTTGCTACACAGAAACAGACACCCGAGGAGGCTGCTGTGGACACCCCAGATGACAAGGCGCTCATCGGTTTTGCTCAACTTTCAATCGTAGACTAACCAGAGCAAGCGTTGAAAGTTGGCAGAAACCCCGCGCCCCGCTCCCGCCGCCGAGAAGAAGAAAAAAAAAAAGCCAGCAGGTCCACGTACTACACGCCGCCTTAAAAAAGAAGAAACGATTTGGTCTTGGTCAGCGAGTGAGCGCTCATTTGCTGCACGCAAGTGACGCGGGGGGAGGAGTGGCAGCAGCAGAGAAGAGAAACGAGAGGCAGTGAAGCGCGACCCCATTGCTGCTTCCTTCTCTCGTATTTTTGTAAAGTGTAAATTTTTTGGTCATTGAATGCAAAGAAGAGGAGGCAGGTTTTGTACAAGCGAGCGAGCCAGCTATGACGCAAGGAGTAGCCATTGATGACGTAGTGAGGGCATGATGTGGGGCTGCGAACCGTGCACATACGCACGGGGATTAACGAGCACACCACCGCTTCTTCGCAACCTGCACCGTTTCTTTGTTTTTAAGGAACCTCACTACCCTCCCAGCTCATTCTTTTTTTTTTTTTTTTTTCGTGTTGTGGCCGCATACGTAGGCCATGCCATCCATGCAAGTCTCTTCTCTGCCTTTCTCATTCTCTAGTGCCTCTAGCCAGTCTTTGCTCCCACACTTTGGGCCGGCTGAGGTGCGTTTGATTATGCAAGTGTGTACAATAGTCTCGGGCAAGGGTGCCGCCTTCCCTCTCTCCCTCTAAGGGCAGTGTGGGAGTGCGGCAGGGGTCGGTTTAATTTATTCAGAGGCAGTCTTAGACGACAATAAAGGCAGATTTCAAAGAAATCTTTGTAAATCGTCTTTCGTCTGTTCTCTATTGCTTTCCACCTTGTGATGGATTTATGATGTGGCGTAGTGCCGCTGCACGCAATACTTTGCGGTTTGTGGTCCACATCAAACCTACCAACATCAAGAAACGCAAGACTTCCAAAGGTTATAAGTTTATTTTGGAACGTACATCCAGAATTAGTTTCAGTAACTTGAAAACTTGAAATGAAACTTTCAAAGATAAAAAATTACGCCTACTTTTTAACGCTTATTCAAGGTAAACTAAGAAACATTTTACAGCGAAAGCTGTTATGAAGCCATAACTCTGGTCACGCGCGGCGCCGTAGTCGTCCGCCGCCGCCGCCCAACGTTACTAGAAATTGGAATAAACTGGTTTGAACGCTCAGCCGGAGAAGTGGGTCTCGTGGCGGTCACGGGGCGCTGCAGTTTTCGTTAATGGATAAGGGAAAGAAGTGTATACTTAAGGGCTCGTTTTCCGTGAGATCTAACAGACGGTAATGCAAAGGAAAGTATAGGGGAAGCTATCAGACCGAATGGTAATGTAAACGTGAAGAAAGAAAAGTGACTGAAAAGATAACTTGCCGTGAGCAGGAACCGAACCTGCGACCCTCGAATAACGCGTTCGATGCTCTACCACCAAAAGGGAGAAAAAAACTTAGGAGAGGCCCTGACGTCACTCAATGTGAAGCAGTGGTGAAGCCGGAAGTCTGCCATATTGACTTTGCAAATTTTCCACTCTTGTTTACGTCTAAATGTAAAGTAGAAGGCGCGACTCTCTCCGGCTCGGCGGAAAACACGTGGGCTGCGCAGCGCGCGTGTCCTGACGATCCGAAACTAATGGAACGGGGCTCAACACTGTGGGCCAGCTAGACACTTTCGGCGAAATCGTTTCGTCCGAGTATTAACAGCAAGTAACTGCTCGCGCCAACGAAGCAAGTACACAAAAACGCGCGCTAGGTGCACTGACAACGGCGAGTGTTTTCACGTCATTAATTCGGCAACTGTACAGACATCACGATCGGTCGTGCGTCTTCTTTACGGTTGCTTTCCGACACGAGTCCGACGCAGCGCCCGGCCACTGTGTCCGTGTTCCGCGTGAAACTCGCCGGCGTCGGCATTCTGCGACCGTGGTGACTTTGAGCACAGTGCAAGTTACACTTGAACGCGGTTGCTCTAACGTTAAGATTACAATTCTGGGGGTAAGTATAACAAGCAGAACAGAAAAGGTTCTTTATCGCGCACATGCAAGTTGTTACTGTACACATACCGAACACGATTCCTTCCTCTATGGCTGTTGTTTCGCTGCGTATGTCCTATTGACCGCCAATCTGTGGGGATTGTTTGTTCCGAGTTTTCGGTCTTCCTGTGTGCGTTAGTGCCGTGTTGAGTCTGTTCAGAACTCTGTTTGTGATTATTTTGAGTCGTGCATTGAACGGCGCCATAGGCCATCGGACACGGAGTTCCGATGATTTTGAATATCCCGCAAAATTTAAACCTGGCGCGCCATGGGCAACTATTGCCATCTGACATGTTAACTGAAAACTAGTTTTTCAGTTTCTGTTTTTCTTTTTTGTGGAGGCGTCGTTGAAAGCGAAAGATTGGATTGGATAAACTTTTATATGGTCCTCCAAAAAAACAGATCACTGTGTTGCGGGCAGCTCCCACGTGGAGACCGAAGGGCGACGTGTTTGGCAAGAATGACACCCCGTCCGCGTCGTGCGCCGCGACATCTGACTCTTGTTGCAAGCATTTCGGCCGCTTCAACTGCTGATTTTGATGATCCAAGCAGCAGTGATAAATCTAGTAACGGTGTGGGATCGTCAGATTTGAGCTCCGATGTTCCCGTTCAGGCGCCTAGGACAGCAACAGGTGCTCTCATGTATAAGCTTTGCTTTTGACTTCGCGCTTCAAATTTGACGACTGGGTCCGGTTTTATTTTTTCTGTTTAGTGTCTGAACAACCTACGGTCGGGATATGTTGGCGAATACAGCGCGCCGCATCAAGTTTGCACCCATCTGAGAGAACCCGGTGCTCATGACGGAGCAACGCTGCGGAACCACGCGCGTCGATTCTCGAGAGCACTGAATTTTTAAAGACGATAGTCTTTCTTGGGACTTTCGACGCAAAAATTTTGGTGTGTATGCCTGTAAATGTGTCTGTTTGTCCACTCATAACGTCATCGGGTACTTGAAACAGCCGACCCCATCCGCAGCGCCCATCAATGTTGCTCAAGATTCAGCGTTCATACTTGTGCAATTGCCGATTAAAAAGTAGTTATTGCGCATGCCTGGGGCACCATAACAATACGTATATATTCTGCGTGTGCACCTTTTACTAGAAAAGACATACATAAGTAATTTTAAAGACCGTAGCGCTTATCACGCTGCGCTGACCATGGAATGCTTGCACGAAAAGGAGAGTGTTTCCAACGCTTTGCTAAAACGAGATGGTAGTGGCACCTACCCGTCGCCTTGCGTTCTACACCTTATCACCTATGAGACGGGCGAGCGCGCCCGTCTCAGTGCCACGCGCTTTGTTTTCGAAAAAAAAACTGCCAGATGGCGCTCATGTCTCACGTGTGACGGGACTTGACGTGCTCGTTCGCTTCCGCTGCACGCTCGAGGCACTCTAAGGGAGCGCCTCCAAAATACCATTCACCAATTTTCTTGCGCAGAACATCAAATAAATGTTTTGTTCACTCTCCACACGCAACATTATCGTCTTTCGACGACATCTGCAGATTAAGCAGATACGGGGCCAATTTTTTTCAGCTGTTTTATATGACAGAAGTTATAAAGACTGTGTGACAACACAAATAAATATGCATGGATGCATATTCTGGAACGGCAAACCTCGCCCGACGTGACGGCTCCTGAGATGCTGAGATTGATTGGGATTATCATCTATATGGGAGTTGTCGGAGTGCCACGACTGCACTTGAACTGGAGGGCATCAGGAATGTTCAGTGGCCTTTTGCCACGAAATGTAATGCCGAGGGACCGTTTCTTCGCGCTGCTGTCTTTCCTGAGTTGAGGGGATCTAGCAGCTGCGGCGTCGGATGGAAAGACTTGGAGGATGTCCTGGCTATTACGCCACATCAGTCAGGGGTCTGTGAACTTCTTTCAACCACAGCGTCACCTCTCCATTGACGAGCGCATGGTTAAATCTAAAGCACAATCGGGAATTACGTAGTACATTCGAGACAAAGTGACAAAACTTGCGTATAGGCACTGGGTGTTGGCGGACTCGAGAACAGCATACACCCTGCAACTTTTTGTGTGCGGGAGGCACCAGGACCACATGGTCTAGCCTTTGGCGTGGTGAACAAGCTTTGCGCAGTGTACCTGAACCAAATCTACAAAATTTATATGGATAATTTTCATACTTCAAAATGACTTTTCGAACACCTCCTCGAACACAATTAAGACTCTTGCATGCGGGACAACTCGCAAAGAGCGCCGATGTTTTCCAGTCGAGCTGAAAGACTTCGAGGGAAAAGAAGGCACAGCGTGGAGATGTGCGATGAATCCGCGATAGTAACGTCCTGTACACGCAGTGGAAGGATCGGCGTGCTGTAAATCTTATGAGCACTATGCACACTTCAAATCAGCGTGTTCCCGCCAAACGAAAAAAGAAGAGGGGGGCACAGTGGGCTCTCAGAGTCATAAGGACACCACGCCTTGTCCATGACCAAATAATTCCTACGTACAACGTGCTTAGAAAGAGCGTGCGCTGGTGGAAGACACTGTTCTTTCACTGTGTAGACATTGCTTGCGTCAACAGTTTTATACTGTTCTTGGAGCACCTAAAAGAGAACCCATCAGTGCCAGAACTTTCTTGAAGCACTTACTATGACCAGCTTGCATTTAGGAAAGAATTAATTCAGCAGATTTTAGAATACGACGGAGTTGCACAAGCTCATGTTCCCTTGGACCCCGTTAGGCACCAACAGAAAAGAATAAAGAAGAGGAGAAATCGCAAGCGGGACGGCAGAAGAAAATGCGTTCGTTGTGGCGGCAATATGCATTGACTCCTATGGACGTCAGGTTTTTCGTTGTAGCGGCAATTTCGTTGAAGCGACGTTCGTTGTAGCGGGGTTCGACTGTACGATGAAATGCGCCGTCTTTCGAGGCATCGTCGTCGGCGGACGACTCGTCGGCCGATTGCTTTGCGTCTGCGTTGTGTTATCGTCGGGCTCATGTCAGTCGTGTCGGTCTAGTGTAAACGCGCCTTTACGGAAACCTAGAGTCACTGGAAACAATTTCACTCAATGCGCCCTCTCGCGGTAATCGGGCCCGCGAGGCGGTACTCGTTGGTTTTGCTGTGGAGCGCGCCGATTGGGACGGCCAGAGCGAAACACGCCACGCGCCCGCTATCTCGGAGGCCATGGAGGGAACTATCGTGTTTTCAGCATTATCATCGAAATGGCGCAAGGAGCGCACGTCGCCAGATCGCCACGACGTGGCGACGCGCGCTGATGCGTTCATTTTCCACGCGTATTTTGCCCCGCGGAGGGGTAGACGCTCACGAGTGCGCACGCTTATCTCGCGGTGGGCAAAATCGTACGCCTTGGACTTTCACCGGAACGATTCTGTTGTAGTTACCGGGCGCACAAATGTCACTGCACTCACTGCACAGTCTCCGTTTGCGAGAGGGCGCGCTTTTCAGACACAGTGAAGTAATGACTGAGACACTTATTTGCGTTCATTTGTACCTGTGAGTACGTTTCGTGTCATTTGAGAGTGAGCAACGCGGGGCACGTTTCGATCTGCTTACTGTTCTTCTCGTGGCATCCAATATTGTTGTTATCTTGCTTCGCCTTTTCGGCAAAACTGTGACTTTCTATTTGAGCTAACCTGTTCCCGCAAAACGAAACGTCACTCTACAAGCAATACACGCGGTAGACTGATAGCTGCGAACATTGAGCATCGGCCGTCGATAATCTGCGACGCAGCAAAGTGCGTCGGCATTTATACACGTGTCATCGAAGATTCTAGCGTTATCGCTAGAGGTCGCGTAAGTTCCAGAACAAACTGTAATGTAGGCGTTGTGCGCGTAATCTCATCGGAAGGTTTTTTAGATTATCTAGATGGTCCCCAGTCATTCGGGCGTTGTTCGCACAGCGTTACACGCGTAAAGAGCAAACCTCATAAGCGCGAAAATGCACGCGACAGCGACGAGCGATGCTATGAGCGACGAAACAAAGCGTTCACGCGACGTGTCACGTGCTCGTTTTCGCGCGATCGCTCGGTTCTCCAGATTTGGAAACCGTCGCTCATCGCCCGGAAAAGCTGGGCTCAAGCAGCCAATAGCGAAGAACCTGAAAAGACAAAGACTACATAGGTGCACGTGACCCTGCCCGAGTCACGTATGCGCAACAAGAATTAACGCAATGTTTACGCATGTGCATATAAAAAAGTGCTGCAAGGCACTCATAAACACTTTCCGTTTCATTACACAACAATATATCTTATTTTTAAATTGCATACCGCTCACTACGCGGTTTTTTTGTTGCGAGTAGACGGCCTCATGCCAACAACAGTGGAGTTCGCTCGCCGAAGCCGTCGCGTGAATGAGGATTGCCTGCGCTAGCGACTGATCGCGCGAAGACTATCTACGTCGCATCGTTCGTCGCTGTCGCGTGAATTTTCGCGCTTATGAGGTTTGGCCCTAATGGTGCGGTAAGAAACATAGAAAGGAGCGTGTGCGGCACCACCATTACAAATTGTTGCTATTACATTCATCCCTTCGCCGATTCTTTTTTTTTTTAATTAATACGGCGAAAATCTCGCCCGCCGTTGCCGAGCAACCGCCGAGCACAGCAAACGCTCCAAGGTTCCTCGGCAACGGTGCGGCGAGTTTTTTTGTAACGCCACTGCCGCCTTTATAGTTTGCCTATCAGCTTTGCTGTTGAAACATATATAGAGTCGCATAATGAGGTATGCACACAAACGCCACCTTAACAAGAATCGTGCGTAGTGTTCACGTGGCGCAAGTATCATGCATTATCCGAAATGTACGACTTTTGACAAGGACGCGGTTGCGTCCTTTGTGTAGCCTGCGCATGTTGCTCGGTCGATGATAAAACTCTCGACTAAATTTAGCGTGGCACGTGCAGACTGCCGTTTAGGCGCGGCTTGGTGCAGCAGGTCACATTGGCGCAGCATTTCCACCCTTGCATACGTCATAATTACATTCGTGGTATTGAAGTATAAAACCACATAATTAAATAATTTGAATAATGCACTCGTAGAAAAAATCCGGCAGATACCACTTTCCCGGGAATGTACGTTATGCAGAGCATGCAGAGGGAAGGTGACTATGTTGCAATTTTTTTTATTGAGCGACACGTCATGAAATGACGCTAAATATATGTACAAATGTTGCACGCACAGACACATGTCAAAGAGTTGCAAATGTATATATAACCAGCTGTTTGCACTAGCGCAATGATACCGACTGGAACCTGCGTATTATCAACACCAGAAGCTGATATGAAGCGCTGATGCTCACAAGGATGCTGGCCCTGTACACAGCTATATGAATCAACTTCAGTGCATGGCAGCTAACCACAATTGATGCTAACCCGATGTGACGGCTGTATCAAAGTAGTACATGTGTAATGTTTAGAAAATTGGGTGGGCAGCACTGCAACCAGTATCGACATTTCACGAAGATTAGGGTATATTTAAAAAAGTAATTTCAGGACCTGGCGTAGCTTTATGTTAAAATGTTTCATTTTTACGCAGAATGCTTAGGTTTGATTTTAGCTGGGACCCTGACATTTATTCTTCAAATTCTTCCTGTATACGCTACCGATGTCGGGTATTGCTTAAAGCTCGCGCGTTAAAATTGCCCATGTGTGTTCTCGTCGTTCCTGCGTAGATGCTAAGTGTCAATCACCTGTGGCACATACCAGCATACTAGTGGCACATACTCGCCTGTGGGTATGTGCCACTATCTGGCAGGAAGTGTTTGACGATGTACGTGACGGGATTGTGATATTATTCATGTCTTCACCAGCGCGTCATATTCGTCAAACCATCTTACCCTCCCATGCTAATTTTGGTTCACGCCAAATTAAAGGGGTGACCATGAGATCACCCAAACGTAAGCGGCTAGATAGACGGATAGATACGCTCAAAGCCGCCGAAGTTCCTTAAGAAATGGTTCGCATTTAAAAAAGAAAGCTCGGACATTTGTTGAGGCATGGTCACACTTTCCTACAACGAGTAAACACCGGCACACATAATAAAACTTTACATTTATTACATGACAGTCCATTTTACAGAAGCAAACAATATATACACAAATTTACAGCCAGTTTTAGATAGTTGGGATTTGAGAGAAATTTCCGAAACAGGTTTATGTACAGTAAATTCACTTATAGGGAACAGCATGTCATCTACAAGGGTCCGTGATACTCCTCTTAATTTGCACCTTGGGGTACAGCCTCTTCCATTCTTGCACAACTTCGAGGCTGATACTGAAGCAGAAGGACACGTCGAGTATCTTCAGTTGCTTGCATTCGTTCAGCACACTGTGTGTATAAAAGCGGTGGCAATAAGCTCCCTAGCACCTCTCAACCAACTGAGAAAAGTGACGAGGTAAGACGTTTATCTACCGTATTTACTCGCATAATCCTTGCACTTTTTTTGCCGAAGAACTGATGCGAAGTTGGAGGGTGCGAGAATTACACGGGGAAAACTTTCTACGAAAACCTACAGAGGGAAAAAGAGAACCAAGTGGCCGCAAATCGGGATTCTCACACCAGCAACTAACAGCAAGATTTAAGAAGTACTAATTAAAACTTGCCTCAACAATAAAAGGAAAGGTTTAACACAAGACAAGATTTATTTGAGACACAAAAAGTGGAAGCAAATAGTCGATAACTAGAATACCATACGCAAAGCTTGTGGTCGTTGCAAACGTAGCGGTAGCGTTCGTCGCTCAACAGGAGCCCTCAAAAGGTAAGCGTAGGACGTCAGTATTGGGCTGATGGCTATTTAACAGAATCGTCCGCAGTTTTTTTCTGAAGAAATAAAGTTTACCATAAATTCCAGTTTTAGGCACATGGCAGGCTTAACACGTCTTGGTGGCTTGCAGCTGCCGTCACCAATAGCAAACACAAAACTCGTAGACTCTGAAGGGCCTACCGACGGCCCTGTTGCCGTTGTTCAGTGCATGATCTATCACTTTCAACTTGAAAGCAGCCGTGTAGCTTCAGTATCGCCTCATAACGTGACAAGATTACCGACACAACATACAAAACACGTCGCAACGCGAACTGGCCACTTCGGCTAGGCTTGAATTGAATTGAATTTCCGTGCAATAGTACGCTTAATGGTTAAGAGATGGCGCCAGATGGTGCATGCTATCATCATCAGTGGCTGGAACGAGCAGACGACATTATTCGGGGGTGCAATAATTACTCGAGGAAAAAAAGAAATCGTATTTTTGTTGGGCGATGTGGGGGGTGCGAGAATTATGCGAGTGCGAGGATTACACGAGTAAATACGGTATTTTTCATTTGTTCGTTTATCGATTGCATATTTACCCCAAGAGCATTATTGTGGAGCAGAGCATTACAAAAATGTGCATGTCAGGTTACGCGTGAAAGTTGATCTTGGTATGCAACAAGCAACGACAGAGGGCGAGTCGTTACAACTGATGTAAAACCTACAAAGTATACAGAAAAGAAATGCCATCCTCAAAACAAACATGAAGAACAGTAAGCACATGAATAATCACTAGAGGTTACCAGCTATACAACATTAAAACAAAACATAACGAAGGAGAAAGGCGAGAAAATTTTTAAAAATTCACAGTCAAGCTGATTCATTGAGCCTGAATACACACTGCACATGACCTTCAGAGAAAGTGTTATTAATGAATGTAACAATGTTCAGCAACTATTATTATTATTATTATTATTATTATTATTATTATTATTTGATTATCTTGTTGCTGGGCTGGGCTAGTTGGTTCATTTCAACACATGTAAAACTGGACAGGACGACACAGACCGGGACTAAAGGGTGCTGTTTAATGAGTGTAAAGAGTGCTGTAATTAGTGCTCTTCACACACTGTCTCTGTTATCCTTTCCAATATTGTATGCTGTTACACGTGTTTCTTGTGTTTGTGAGCCATCATTGTATGAACCATCACATCACAGACGAGAGAGAAAACTTTTGAGAAAGTCTGCATATAGTATACTCCCATTGTTTTCTGGTGGGGAAAGTCTTTGCTGCCGCCATTTTGCATTTCGGTGTGCTGTTCTGGGAAGAAAAAATTGCCCCAATTCCACATTGCTGCTAATTTCGGCTCCCTGAGGGAGGGGGGAGATCGTTAGGTCTGGATTCTATGGCAGTAGTTGCACTGTGCACAAACAGACACTTACACCGCCAAGAAACTAAAACGAGAAAACGCTCACTGAATGACTCCAGTTGAGCTCGCCTCTGCAGATCCTAGGATGTCCAGATGTTCAAGGTCGTGACAATATTTCGCAATAGCATACAGGTCCGTGTCGCAAAGAACGCTGAAAATGAGCCAAATGTCGATTTCGAATTCTCATTCACAGCATCTACAATCATTGCCAGTTTAGATTGTAAATATTTTAACACCACTGTCGACTTTTCAATGTTGATGGCGTTAGCATCTGAAGTAATCAGAAATCTCTACTTCTGAAAACCCTTTGAACAGGTAAGCAGCACAAGATGAGGAAATTGGAAATGAAGACATGTAAAGAAAAGCTGACCACAGGTCCAACTCCTGTGGTCTAAAAACACCAGGTCATAAAAACACCTGGTCTAGTACACGAGTTTAAAAAAGTTGAGTAAAAATTTATGGCAGAGTTACTTTAGGATGATATTGGAAACCGATGAAAACTACATGTCTCTGAAAAAGTTCATATCAAGTTCACTGTGTTTAGAAAAACAAAACAAAAAAAAAGGTTTCCAAAGTAAATCATTCAGCTGCAAGAGACTTTTCAACACTTTTTCAAGTAATCGACGAATGAACTTAGCATCGAAGTTTATTGCCTCGAGCATCGAGTGCCAAACTTTTTTTTTTCACCCAAGTGGAGCCATGCCACTTTATGTCATGCATCATAGCCGTAACTTGGTTTGGTCTTATTTGTCTGTGATAATAGTTTATTACATATAATGGAGTCAATGGCAGCTGCGCCCTTTACCTAAAAACGTCACCGTCCAGCTACAGGGCTGCCGTGCTGTCACCGTAATGCACAAAGATGTGGTCAAGCACTAGATCACTGCCAAACATACAAATCAATACTTTTAATAGTTTTCACAGCACTGAAAACAGCATGAACATCACATACCGAACAGCAGGTAGTAGCAGCCTCTTCAAATGTGGACAACCTCTTGCAATTTCCTGGATGGATCCTGACTCAATGCTTGTGCTGGAAAAAAAAATGATGGACAAAAAGTTTGCATGATGCATAGTATTCTGAGAGAGCACTTGCTACAGAGAGAAAGAGAGAGAGAAAAACTATATTTTAGTATGCCTGTTATGGGTTTGTTGAAGTTATTCATGCTTTCTGCCTTACCAAGGTCACTAAAGTAAACTGTGGACCAATTGAGAGGAAAAAGTAAAGAAATCTATATGGGTCTCAATATTCAATCAAGCTATACAAATGTCTAACAAGCAACCAAAGAAGTTTACTCATATATGGACAGATTATGGCAATTCACCAACTAGAACCATCTAAATGGAAGTTAGACATCTTTGTTTAAAGTGACATTGAAATAACCCATTGATGATTGATATGTGGGGTTTAACGTCCCAAAATCATTGAAATAACCCATCCAATGCAACAAGCAAAATGGATACGAGGTCCCCTGCTTACAAGAAACATCTCATATAAAAGACAAGAATTGCTGCCCGGAGGATGTCTCTTATAAAGGGGTTTAACTGTAACGATAAAAAAAGTGCGCATAAAAAATTTCAATGGAAAAAAATTGTATTATGAGAATTTTTAAAAACGTTAGCCCATACTAATTGTTTGCTTAAAGTCAATAATAACTATACTGGGAACACAAAGTTTTAAAGGTGGTGCACCCTTCACATGTTAAGAAATATGTGGGCAAGATTTCATTTTGATCAGGCAATCAGAAGTGCCAAAACATGAAGTTAAACTGAAGAAGTTACACAAAGATTGATCTTGAGAAAAACGCATTTTTAAATGTACAAGTCAAAGCTCATCTATGCGGCAAAGGTACGTTTTTAAAAATGATTTCTTCCATCATGAAAGCTTGGCAATCATGGTTATTTTGAGCATATGGCTTTAGTAAACTTTTCACGCAAAATGCAATGGCAAGTAACCAGGTGACGATTTCAAGGGGACTCTAGACAATAGGCTCTTTTTAGTTTACAGTAGTCACATTGTGCTCTTTAAAAGCGATTTTTACCTACTTCGAGTTTAATAAGAATTCTCAGTTGTTTTTTTTTGTTGTGAAAGTAGAAAAGCTAAACTTGTGAAAGCAAATAAAAACGAAAAATACGTAATTCTTAAAAAACTTGCATTTTTCGATTTCTCCCCTTAACTCAAATGGAATGTAGATATGTAAATAGTAGCAATGATGCAGACAATTGCGAATAAGAATAAGCAAGAGAAGGAATAGAGAATTACGTTACAGAAGACTTATTAGTTAACAAATGGAAAAACATAGAAAAACTTAACAGAGGCCTACGTAATGCGTGGTATGCAAACGGAGAACAGCAAAGACAGCACTTGTGCAAACAATCAAGCTATGGTTAAAAAAAATTAGTTCTTGCATAATTTAACATGAAGAACAATGATATGGTAGGCTAAAATATCATCTGTTATGTAACTGCTTATTCTGTTGCATATAGCATCAATACGTTTGGAGTGATAGTTGACAGAATATAATTGGAATATAAGTTAATCTCATAGTCAAGCTTAGTCTCAAGTCAAGCTTACATAGACAGGATCTGTCATTTCTTTGTGACAGCAGTGAGACCCGAAGCAACCCCATGTTTGCATTTTTGGGACATTCCAATGAAGCACCACGCAAGACGAACTTCGATAACGACAGTATAGCCGCATCTGAATTTAAGCGAAGATTCTGTACGCATTGGAGTATGCAGCAAAACACCATGGCTACAAGAAAGACAAAAATTGCTGCCCGGAGGATGCCTCTTATAAAGGGGTTTAACTGTAACTATCAAGAAAGTGCATACAAAATATTTTGACGGAGAAAAAAATTGTAATGTGAGAATTCCTAAAAATGCCAGCCCTTACTAATAGTTTGCTTAAGGCCTATAAGGTCCATAATAATTATACTGGCAATATAAAGTTTTAAAGGTGATACGTGCACCCTTCACATGTTAAGAAATATGTGGGCAGAATCTCATTCTGATTTGGCTATCAGAAGTACCAAAAACATGAAGTTAAACGGAAGAAGTTTCCCGCGAATGGATCTTGAGAAAAACCCATATTAAAATGTACAAGTCAAAGCTCATCTATGTGGCAAAGATACATTTTTTAAAAATAATTTCTTCCATCATAAAAGCCTGGCAATTATGATTATTTCGAGCATGTGGCTTTTAGTGAACTCTCCATGTGAAATACAATGGCAAGCAGCCCAGTAACAATGTCCAGGAAACTCTGCAATGAGCTCTTTTTAGCTTTTAAAAGCCACCTTGTGCTCTTTAAAAGCGATTTTATCTTACTGCAAGTTTAATAACAATGTTCAGTTTTTTGTAGTGGACGTAAAAAACTAAACTTCTCAAAGCAAAAAAAAAAAGAGAAAAATGTGTAATTTTGGAAAAATATCTGTTTCTTGACTCACATCTTCTTTTAAGATACATGATGCATTATTGAATGTATTGGAAATACAGATACAGTCAAACCTCTTTATAAAAGACACTGATACAGCAGACAAATAGGTACCGTAGGAGACACTAGCGTGCCTCCTGTAAGATACCAATGGATAAGAAAATGCATATGAGGTACCTTGCTTATAAAACAGATCTTATATAAAAAACAAGAACAGCTGTCCGGAGCATGCCTCTTACAAAGGGGTTTAACTGTACTCGTTTTGCGGAACGTATCGCTATACAGATAGAAGATACCCAAGGAGTAGCTAAGATAGTATCTGAGATACATGTATCTTTGATAGTGCCCAGCCCTGTGAAGTTAACACACAGACTGAAACAGGCACTCACCACCAGCCTAAATCGAGGCTGACTAGATGTGGACAGGACCGGGCAAACAAATTGGCACCAACAGATGACAGTGTTCTAGCACGGTAAAGGTCTAGGCTTCTTAGGTTTCTGAAAAAGTGCAAGAGTAGACTTTACTTCAGAGTTGAAGCGCACGCACGCAGTTAATGTGTACACAAGCACACTAAAGGCAACATCTCGTGGCAGCTTGAGTGTCTGAGGAAAAAAGCAGGATTCAAAAACTCCAGCAGTGCACACTCTTGCTTCTCAAAATTAGGCGCTCCCTGGCCAACATTAACTTTCCATTGACACTGACTATGCATGCCTTAAAACGACAGATTGGCACGCTGTGAAATGCTGAATATCTGTATTCATGCTAACATTACTTAGCATCCTAAGCGTGCGCTTTACTCGGGCACGTATTTCTTCTAGCAACTGTAATGTTTCTCAGTGAAAAGAAAATTAAGGCTCTCAATCTTTTTCAGTTTTTCTTTTTTTTAATCAATGTCCAACACTTCAGGAGCTGCACATTTCCACCTTCCGGAAAGCAACAGCAATGCACATTTTTTACTCCATTTTCACATATAGCAGGCACACGTACACGGGACTTGACTGTTCGCAGTGAATTTCTTAAGTAGCATTTATTGTAACCAGTCCAACGTCTGAAAGCATTTGCATCTGCACATATACTCGTGTTCTTCTGTAGATGTGTAGTACTTTGTATTAGACTACAGTATCTGTATTTGTGCTGAAGTTTCTATGGCGTTTTGTGCAGTCTAAGCCCATCAAAGGGTGTTGCAGACCAATTAGAGAGACACTTTTACTTCACCAACGTCTCTCAAGATCACTAGCTAAAATAAGAGCCTTAAAAAAATGAGCTAATAAATAGCTGCACAAATATGATCAGCACCTACCCCAGGTAGGTGCTGATCTCCAGAGCAATGTCGTCATAGTTGTTGACAACGGGACAGCTGCCTAGGGACAGATGCCTGAGCTTGTTGCAATTCCTGCAATGCAAATACATTCTTATCCATTGCGCCAGGCCCCCACTCAGGCTCCGCACAATCATCACAAGTTTTACTCCTATTAATGATTGTTTCAAAAATTCAAGACAACTAACAACAACATCAATTTGCAGCCCATTCTTTTAGTAAAATTGATACATTAAGCAAGGTGGTTCACAATATGGTGATAACTAACATGTGAATATTTTGATGCATATAAAGCGGACATATGGCAGTAGAGATATTTGAAAGAATCTGCCTTGCTGTTCGTCTTGAAAAATGAGTGATAATTAAATTTGACATCATTTAATCTACTAAAGACGCATTCAAATGTCAAAAATACGTCGTGGTGTCTTCCAGATTATTTTTAACACCTGGTCATATTTAGTTAGTACATGCAAAGCTAACTAAGCAACCTCGTCAGTTCTGCTGTGTCGATTCCACAGTAATAGGAATTTTAAGATTATATTTGAAGAAAACAAACATTACTTTCGGACACCCAGTACTGTGTAAGCAAATACAGCGGTACCAATAACCAGTAAGGTGTACACCAATTTCGATTTGCTGCCTATTTTATGCTCGCAAAAAACTTGCGAAGCACATGACCACGAGTCATTATTTAAATTGCTCCGAGTTTCTCCAACAGGAAAAGCCACTGATTTATGTATGACTGATTCAAGTATTGATTGTACAATACATTGACACACGAAATGCTGCTTAGTTGGGATTTAAACAAGGCAAGTCCACTGTAAAGGTACCTCAGCTCAATAGACATACTGCTGTTTTTTCAAATTCTGCAAATGTTCAGTCCAGCTTCCAGATGTGCCGAAATTTCGGCAAACTCCCTACATTCAGATCAGAAATGTTTAGGCCGTAGCTGATGTTATTTAATCTGTAACTAATGCATTAATGTTTAGCCATAGCTGGTAGCTGAAAGATGTCCACAAGTAATTTTCAGCTAGTTTGTGCTGATAAACACTGATAATATCAATGCTTTCCAATGAATCATGTGTAACAAGCCTTTCAGGATGACTCAGTGTTAACAGCTCACCTGATAATTGAGATAAGAGAGAACATCTCGATTTCAGTCCTGCACAGGTCGAGCCAGACTAGCTTGGACAGGTGAGATATTTGAAGAAAACCGAGCCTGTTCAGCAGGGGATTGCAACAACCTTTCAGTTCCAGTTCTGTGGAAACGAATAAAAGAAAGGGGTAGGAGAAAAAAAAGTAAACCATTTGCAGCAGAACTAAACTCACTGGTGTCAATCATCCATTGCCAAGCGAATAGCATAAAGACAACTCGACGACACTTCGGTTGGCACGGTGAAAACGCATCAAGCGCGGCGACACGCTGGCCTGCATCAAGGGCATCTCTAAATAAACCATCAGCCTCGAGAAAATATGCAGGGCAATTTTGAAGACATTCTATTTCAACTGATGAAGCACACGCCTGTGGCATAATGGTTAGAGCACTCGGCTTCAGTACTTCAGTGCTGAAGGCCAGTGTTCCCACCACTATGATGTTTTATTGCAGTTTGTTTAGTGTTTATATGCACAAAGCTGTTGTCACTAATGCTGGCGCACGTGTCTGCCTGTGACGTCACACCAGAAGGTCGATGCTTATCAACCTTCTGGTGTGACACCACGTGCAGCCACGTGCGCCAGCATTATATCTAGCCCTATAGAATCTGTCGTACTAGCCAAAAAAATGTGATCTGCTTTTGAATATCGCACTGTGGCTCAGTCATGCTTGTCTGTGAATATGGAGCTAGACACATAAAGACAAGTTTATGGGCAACACAGATATATGCATTCTTTCACAGAAGCAACAACATTAAAACTAGTTAAATATATATGTTTTGCTTATCAAAACTTTTCTTGTGAAAATAAAGGGGAACAGTCATTAATCACAAGTTTTGGTAGCTACCGAAAAATGTACCTATTTGAGCCTGATCCAATTTTTTTCAGAGGGTGATTTCCGACCAGTCAACAACTGTGATGAAATTTGCATACCAGCAGCATACAGTTATATTGCTGGTAATTTTTTTCAAAAAAAAAGGGGGGGGAGGACAGGAAGAAAGGCTCGAAAGGCTGGCACCCAATCTTAAGTTTTCTCCCAACAAGTAGCCAATTAGTTTATTAAATGTATCTTCCTGCAGCCTTGTGAAAGTTACGAGTAATGTCGACCAGATGCCTAGTTCAAATTAGGCTCTCATAATTCTACGTCTCACAATGATACATGCACAGGTCATGTGTAACCCAACTATGGTTCATTCAAACAAAACAGAACTTCCAAGGGGAAGCAGAGCCTGGAAGTGGTGAGACGTCACTAAATAAGAATCATTCCTCAATCCAACAATTAGACTAGTCTTACAACGTTTATTGCGATTCGGCCTAGTGCCTTTCATTGTTTCGCACACAGCCCACAGAAGCTCATATGTGGCATATATCTCCATTTAAATGACAACGAAAATCTCTGAGTATATTTTAAATAAGATGTACAAATGGTATCACAAGCTGAGTATACTGGTCGGTTTTCATGAGCCTCCTTGAAGGGACACCAAAGGCAAACAACTGGTGGCATATTTAAACTGTGCGAAGACGACGACACACAGAGCGATCACACATGAAGCACAGACTTCCAATTGTGTCTATTTCGTAAAGGTGCAACATTATTAAACTTATACAAGGAGAAATCACACTGATAACCTTATAATGTGCACAAATGTGGCGAGACCACATGCGCATTACAATCTCAGAAAGGACCTAATGTGCCTATCCAAGAAACTTTCTTCTTTACGTTATAGAGATAATAAGGGTGAACTAGCACACATGTCCCTCTTTTTGCTATGATGAATGAGGACCGATCACACATGAAGCACAGACTTCCAATTGTGTCTATTTCGTAAAGGTGCAACATTATTAAACTTAGACAAGGAGAAATCACACTGATAACCTTATAGTGTGCACAAATGTGGCGAGACCACATGCGCATTACAATCTCAGAAAGGACCTAATGTGCCTATCCAAGAAACTTTCTTCTTTACGTTATAGAGATAATAAGGGTAAACTAGTACACATGTCCCTCTTTTTGCTATGATGAATGAGGACCAATGTCAAGAACATTTTTTTTTTCTTTTCTGAAAATGAATGCAAACAAAAAACAAACTGTGCATGCATATGGGGCTATACTTTATTCCCTTTATGTAAGAATTGAAGATGACTGATTGCAGATTAATTAGATAAATAATTACGTCATAATTAACATTAATTTGGAATTCACATAACACAACTAATTTCATTATTTTTTTACTTTTTTTATTGAAGTGAAATAGTTTGTGCCTCAGAATCATCCCATGTGAATTTCACACATAGAAAAGCAGTGGATTATAATTTGCATCTGAAGAAAATATAGCTTACCTGTGAGGTTTGGACAGTAATCTGCAATGACCTTCAGACACTCGTTATCAACGAATGGGCAAGAAGACAGGCAGAGGCACTGCAGAAGCTCTCCTCTCACTTCCATGAAACTACACAGGGGAGCAGGAAGAAAAAAAAAGAAAAACTGCTAGACAAACACAGTCCTAAAAAACGGCACATCTTCTCCATGCCATATCACAAGTACGAATTTGATACGTGTTACGCACGAATAAAATGATCAGTGAAAGCTTTTTAAAAACACATGCCAGATTCAACCCATCTTTTTTTCTTATACTAATCAAATAAACGTTTTATCTCAAGGAAGTTTTTATGAAAAGAACTGTGAATTTGTCTTGCAAAGAATTTTCAGTCCCTATTTCATATAAAAAAATGAGAAAGCTGAATGAAATTAACAATAGTTCAAACAAAACTCCTTTGAGCGGGAATGCCCAAGGTCAAAGATGAAGGAAGGTGCCGGTAATATACAAAAAGACCTTAACCCATTATTGCCCCTTGTTGCATATCTGCAACACCCATGTCCGTGCCCTGCCGATTGCAAGGATCCTAATGCACCGGTATAAGTTGTTCATACTATGTTATTTTGAGGGTTCTTCGTTCCACGCAGTACAATTTTCAGCCGCTTGGGGGCCACATTCGTCGTATCTGCAGTTTTCAAAATGGCAGCATCCATGTCGTCGTCGAGCTCCGCAAACAAGGTACTGTAAATATTTTTTTATGAGCCCTCAAATTAACCTGCGCTGCTTTTTTCACTGAATGTGTGTTGGAAACACTCTTGACAGTAATCTAGAATCCAAAAGTTAGTTTTTTGCTTGCTCTGTTCGAGAAAATATTTTTTTGCACGTGGTGTGTTGCACATATGCAACAGTGGGCACTAAATGCCAATATTTTCATTGTTGCAAATATGCAACATGGCTTTTCTGCTTAAAACGCGTCTTACATATCGTGACACGCATTCGTTTGGAGTGTGTGAACGGATGTTTGTTTGCTAATTTTGCTGTTTTAACAATTTTTCAGGGACATACTGCAATTTCTACCTCAACATTCTATTCTGTTCTAAAAGAGAGGCCGAAGCGTTTTGTTCATGCAAACCTGCTGGATGTTATCGACGATAATGAGAGCGATTTTTCCGCTGATGAAAAAAAAGTGACGAAGAAGTGTCTGGAGACAGCAGTGATGGAGATGCCATCCAAACTGAGGTAAAAGAAGCTGAGGAAGAGGTTGCTACCTCGACGGATGCGCCTTCTGTAGATCAGACACCGCGGAACATGAAAAGGCGGTACACATGGGTGAAAAAGAATTTTGATATCGAGGCAGGTAGTTTCGAGAACAACTTTCCGCTGGCACCTGCAGAGCCGCTGAGTGCAGTGGAATACTTTGACGTGTTTGTTTCTCGATCCATGCTAAAGGCTGTCGTCGATGAAAGCAATAAGTACTACTTTCAAAAACATGGAACCACTCTAAACCTCACCGTAGAAAAACTTACACCTGTGCTGGGCATGTTTTTCAGGATGGGACTTGTAAACATGCACAGGGTTCGTGCGCATTGGGAAAATGAAAGTAGATATGAATTAGTAGCCCAGGTAATGTCCCATAACAGATTCGAAAAGATCACAAGCCACCTGCATTTTTTCAATAATGAAGCGGCCAATGACAAAGTAAAAGAAGACAAATGCTGGAAAGTGCGCCCATGGCTCAGTTCCTTGCGCAGCAACATGGTTGTCTTGCCCCAAGAAAAAAAATCTGCAGTGGACGAAATCTTGATCCCTTTCTGTGGGCGGTGTTACGTTCGTCAGTACATGCCTAATAAACCAAAGAGTAAATGGGGTCTAAAACTTTGGGCACGTTCCGGGGAATCAGGTCTGTGTTATGATTTTGATGTCTACCAGCGCTGCAACAAAGGTTTTTATGGCAGCCAGGGTGGCTACCAGCTTGGGTTGGGAGCTGCTGTCGTGCTCCAGCTGTGTTCCAGCCTACCGAAGCGCGACGACAACCTAGTCGTCGCTGATAACTTCTTCACAGGCCCTCAGCTTGTAGAGGAGCTTTCAAGAATGGGAATTTTCTATATTGGTACGGTTCGTGAAAACAGACTGAGCTGCAGCAAGTTGATGGAGGAGAAATTGATGAAAAAGCAAGGTCGGGGCACCTGTGATACTTCAGTCACCTTGTGTGACCAAAAGACAATGGCGGCAGCGAAGTCGCATGACAACCGCACTGTTACTCTTCTTTCGAGCTGCATTGGTGCTGACTCGCTTACATCAGTCAAAAGGTGGGACAGCAAAGAGAAAAAGCACATTTTTTGTCGATTGTCCAGCGATCATTCCTTCCTACAACAGATCAATGGGTGGCGTGGATCTTCTTGACAAAATGGGCTTCTCCTATCGCTTTTCTGACAGGTCTAAACGCTGGTATATATATTTGTTTTGGCACACGCTCAAAATATCAGCTGTTAATGCATGGTTCATGCACAAGAAAATTCTCCAGCAGCACAAACGGCCGCCTACATCCTTGAGAGAATTCCTCTCTGAGCTCGAAACAAGTCTGATCTTACTCAACAAACGACCACCAGGGCGCCCTTCGATTCAGAATGTCACACCATTCAAGATAGTGTGCCTAAATGTCCCCCGGGATGTCAGAAGAGACAGCAAGGAGCACTGGCCCACATGGAATGCAAAACAGAACCGCTGTAAGGCATGCCCAGGAGGGTACACCTATGTTTCGTGTGCCAAGTGTAAGGTGATGTTGTGTTTCAACAAAGACCCTAACTGTTTTGTTAGTTTTCACCAGTAGGCACCAAACAGCTATGCTTCAGTTTTGTGCTTTCTTCAATTTGCTAATTCGCCAAAATAATTGGTGGCAATAAAAAGTTTTTTTTCACTTGGCTTGGCCTCCATTTTATACACTACTGCCCATTGTTGCACATATGCAACATCCCATTAATAATTTACAGACTATATCTTCAAGTTTTTTATTGAACATTTGTACTCCTAGTGACTCTAAGAGCATGGCCAAGAAATATTTTGAAGTTTGAAAAAATGTTTCTCATACTGGGAATTATTGGGTTAAAAATAAAAGACATTTCAGAACCAGTAAGGGAGGGTCTTAGTCACAATTCTATACCTTGTCCAATATTGAGGGCCTTGTACATAATTGTGAACAGGGCACCATACAAGAACCAAAATTTATTTTATTTCAAAGTTATTTTTATGTTTGGTCAGCATCTTCCTCTACATTTGACCAGAAAGCTGAATGCCAAAAAAATGAAGCTCATTGGGAAATTCCAAAAATTGGCTATCCCTGTACATACCTTTAAGTTCAATTAGAGGATTTTGTACAAGAGACGGCAAGTGATTTTGTTCAATGCATTCATTCCATTTGCCATTAAAGACAGAAACTGAGCATCAAAGCAATCTTTTCTCACTTGGCATACAAAAACAGGTTCTAAGAGAGATAATTCTTGCTGTTTCTATTAAACTCATGATATAATTATCATTAGAATATACTTCAAAGCTGTACAGCCATTCAACAACAAGCATTAAATATACAAATGCACACGGTTTATTTGTTTTCAGATGGGGAAACAACGTATGTATGCATGATACAAAACACTTTATAAATAATACAAAATGCGACCGACACAGAACAGATTTTGAATTTAATGTGATGCAGAATGTTGGCGATTCAAAAAATGAAAAAAAAAAGCAAGGCACGACACTTTAATGGAGTGAAGCAGAGGCGCAGTAGCACAAACATATTATTTTATCAGAGTGTTACCAGGTTGGGCAACTAACGTTTGCCACTGCATGTACTGCGAATACAAATACATACTTACCGTAATTACTCGAATCTAACGCGCACCTTTTTTCCGGTTTAGCGAGTTCATAAATCGCATGCGCGTTAGAATCGAGTACGAACAAAAAAATTACGGTCAATCTATTGCCATCGGCAAATCCAAAATGTCCGCCCCCTACGTGCGTCGGCATGGCGCGTCGGCCATTTCTGCCCATGTGTTTCCCATGTGCGGCACTTCGTACGTGTGCTGAGGAGTTCGTCATCTAGTAGTGCATTAGCATCGACGGCGTGGAAGGGCCGACTCCAAAAACTTGAGTGCACAACGATGCCGCTTTTAAAAGAAAAGTCATCGCGTGTGCAGAAACGGACGGAAATCGGGCCGCATCGCGGTCGTTCGGAGTTCCCGAAACGTGCGTGCGGGACCGGCGGAAACAAAAGCAAAAGATTGTCGACAGCAAAGCTTCACGCAAAGGCTTCAGTGGACCACAGCAAGGTCGGTTTCCGCAAATCAAAGAACTGCTCGGCGAGTATGTGCTTGAGCAGCGAGCGGCACAGCGGCCCGTGACGACAGAACTGCTCCAAGTGCGGGCTATGCAATTAGTCTTAGAAAAAGGTCTAATGCGGAACCAGTTTAAAGCGAGCAGATGCTGGCTAGCTAACTTTATGAAGAGGAAAGGCTTTTCCCTCCGAAGAAGAACATGCATATGCGAAAAGTTTTGCGGAGGAATACGATGAAAAGCTTCACAGTTTTCAGAGGTTCGTCCTAAACTTGCGGCGCAACAACGGCTACCTGCTTGGGCAAATCGGGAATGCCGATCAGACACCTCTTTACTTCGACATGCCTGGCACCACAACCGTCGAGAAGAAGGGGGCGAAGCAAGTTCATGTGCTGACGTCGGTCCACGGTAAAACTACAGTGACGGCAATGCTCTGTTACACGTCAGATGAGCACAAGCTTCGCCCGTACCTCATATTTAAATGGAAGACGCTCACGAAAGAAGTCGTTTTTTTCGAGTGGTGTGATCGTGCGGGCCAGCGAGAAAAAATGGGTGCGCGTTGCAATCGATGTCTTACGTTTTTTTTTTTTTTCGTGGTGAAAATCGGGTGGCGCGTTACAATCGAGGGCGCGGTAGAATCGAGTATAAATACGGTACACTTCGCACAAACTACAGACATATTTTAAAATTAATATATGTTCTAGTGTGTAGTTCATCTAAATTATAGTTTAATATTATTGATTTCATGTCCTACTTTTTATTTCTTGAGAATTTTGTTTCAAATTTTAACTTGCAAAGTACTTTTCTTAACACTAACCCAAAATACGTAGATGCGCGAAACTTACGTTGCTTCCCCTTGAAATGCGTCGCACAAAAAAAATAAAAAATTGAACCTTCCAGTTCTCATTATTCTTTTCTGTTATAATAATGACAGCAGAGCAACTGAATCTATAGAATAAGTAAAATAGATAGTCAAGAAGACTGACACAAGTCGCACTCGAAGTGTCGGTTAGTGTGCTGTAAAAGAATGCCAGAAACTCATATGCAGTGGGACTTGATTCAACCCACTACAAACGGCCATAGTTCCAAAGCAGTGTACTTAAACTGTGTCAAACACACGAAAATTAGAATGGTGACACTGACCTCACAAAGGCTTCTGCGGAAAGATATCCAGCAGCACCACACCATGAGAGGTTGAGTTTCTCCAGCGTCACACATCGCTTCTGAAGGGCCTCGAGTGCGTTGTCGTCGATCTTTGAAGGAAGAAACAACGAGTAGAGGTGAGAGTCAGAGAAATTTTTTATTGCAGCTTACATTCCACACATCGCATAGCTGTGGGTTTCACAAACGACTGCTCCTGGAGACACCAAGTCCGCCCTCAAGTCAAGACACATAGATTATGGTAGCACCCACAAAGCAATGTAATGGGGCTGAATTTTATATCAATTGCTTCAGAGATGTACCTCACACTTGCAGGAAGTAATGTACAGTATGGACAATACCAAGAGGCAGATTGTATCCTGCCAATGCCCTTGAGAATTAAAAAGCACAGAAAAGAGAAAGCTTAAACAGGTAGAGGGCAGCACACCTATCGTTATGTTTTATGTATACTGAAATTAATGAGAACTGACAATAATGTCATGGATATTATTGGTAGCAATTGTAATGTAAATATGAAGAAAGAAGCACGGATGAAAAGAAAGCTTGTTATTGGCAGGGATTGAAACCGCGACCTTGGAATAATGCATCTGGAGCTCTACCAACTGAGCTATGACAGTGGTCATCCCTTAGCCCACTTTGTAGGGTATATATGTATGTGCCCTCTCATGTGGACGGAGTGATGACTGCCTCCAGAGTCATTCAATGCTTCTGGTCACGAAACTGCTGCCTCAGTTTCATATGGAGCCAGTGGTCATAGCCGGATCCGAAGAGTTGCTTGAGACATGATATGACCACCGCTACCACTGGGGCTGTGTGCGGGACAGCCTCAGTGTTTTAGCTTTCTAAGCATCTGCAACAATCGCTTTGCTTTCACACATTCACTTTTAGCACTCAGCATGCATAAATACCTGCCTGGACAGGTTTACTGTTTTAAAATGAGCACCCTGGAGCGGAAAAGAAGCAGCTCAAAAGATGCAGCTCGCAAGTGTATCAGCAAAAAAATATGTTTCGGTGGTTTATGAGCGAATCCCACGATATGATTATTTCAAATGTCGTAGCCGGGGGCATCTGAATGATTCTTGCGACTAAGGCTCCTTTTACATGCACCTAATTCACGGTGCACTGGTGTTTTCGCATTTCACCCCCATCCAAATGCAACCGCCATGGCCTCGCAAGCTCCTCTCATCTCAACAATATGACCCGCTTACATTTCTGCTGCTTGTCTAATGATGAAGAGAACGGCATCTTTTTGGTTACCTTACAGCTGGAACAGCACTCCTGCACACAACATGTGTTAGGCATGCTCGTGGTGAAACAATGTTTCCACTAACTTAAACACATCATATCCAGCAGCTTTTCTAGCACTGCGCAAGCATTTTAATATGCGCACGGCACAGACGATTGCCTCCGTGGCACAGAGTTGTGGCATTTTCCAACAGTGTGTGAAGCCCACCTATAGAATGAAAGCTCAGTTTTGTGGTGATAATAAGTACTCATTCATTTATTTACTTATTTATTTTGCTACATACTGCCAGCCTTCTATGGAAGGCTTTAGGCAGTTGTGGGGCATAAATAATTAACACACAACAAGCTTGAAAAAAGTAAAAGATGAAAAAAAACAACAAGTACATTAAGTGATATATTGCAAAACAGTGACATTGAAGAATATGCAAAAGCAATAAAATGAAACAAAATGAATCACTCTGCCACCATAGCTCAATCGTTAAAGCAGAGGATGTGTTATTTGAAGGTCGCAGGATTGGTCCTGGCCGGCGGAAAGTAATCTTTTCGACAACTTTTCTTTGTTCGCACTTACATCACAGTTACATACTAATAATAACATCCCGTATACTTTCCTCGGCCTTATTGTCTATTAGTTCTCATAAGTATTGCACTTAACAAAAAAAATGAGCTCTTCAATTTACACCTCTTTCCTATACACACAGGAGTGTCATCATCATCAGCCTGACTACGTCCACTGCAGGACAAAGGCCTCTCCCATGTTCCGCCAGTTAACCCGGTCCTGTGCTTGCTGCTGCCAATTTATACCCGCAAACTTCTTAATCTCATCTGCCCACCTAACCTTCTGTCTCCCCCTAACCCGCTTCCCTTCTCTGGGAATCCAGTCAGTTACCCTTAATGACCAGCGGTTATCCTGTCTACGCGCTACATGCCCTGCCCATGTCCATTTCTTCTTCTTGATTTCAGCTTCTGATTTCACAGGAGTGTAGTATAGAATTAAATCCTTTTAATAGAGACACTGAAGTAAGAGACAAATGGGTCTAAGAGACAGCAGCGTACGTAGATAAAAATTGGGCCGAATAAGAAAATGCTTACGTGGTATCCTGATTATAAGAGACACCTCATATAGACGACAATAACTGTTTCCTAGCGCATGTCTCTCATCAAGGGGTTGTTCAACTGTACATTCACAAAAGCAAGTGACCGACAGGAGATCCTCTAAGCATTTCGTAAAAACAGAGTTGGTAAGCTTGAGAGAAATGTGACATGAGCTGAACAACACACAGAGCAATGTGACAGTGACTATTTTAACAGATGTATGGCCATCAAGGCAGTATGCAGTCACATAAATGGAAGAATGGCCAGAGAGACAAATGTGGTACTTTACTTGATGTACGACAAGTTTCCGATCAAGCAATCTCGGCCGCGTTACAAATTAATTATGACAGCAAATGAATTTTCTGTCGGAAAATTTGTTATGAAAGTTATCGTCATCAACCCTTCCAAGGCAGTTGGGTATCATTTGATAGTACCTGTTGAAGAAGTTATTTAAGTTAGAATGAAACTGACATTTCAATTAACACATTAGTCATTTTTTTCTTTATCTTTTATAATTAGCTTGTTATACCCACAGAGTTTAAATCCTTAGTGCTGCACAGATAAGAGACAAGTATATGTGTTTCGCTACTACCTTTTCCCAGTATGGTTGAAGGTCCAGGCATCGGTAAAATACATGATCGTAGCAGACTTTCCAAAACAGTCTAGAGGAAAAAAAGAACACATACCCTATGTTAAGCCAAGAGCTGATGATAAAACTAAACTGAACTTGCTCATGCGATAAATCATTGCAAAGTCCCAAAAAATTCATAAATTTGCTCTGTCTATTAGCAAATACGCAATTGATCATACTAACCTGCATAATATATATATATATATATATATATATATATATATATATATATAATTTTTTTATTGACACAAAACAGGTGCAAATGTCTATTTTTTTTGTTCAAAGAAAGTGGAAGCAACTTTGAATAGTAGTAAGATTTGACTTTCAGTAGAATGGAAGTATTAACCTGCAAAATATGTTACGTTTTAAAATTTACTAAGGTAATAAAAGCCAGCATAACAACAAGCTTTTGAACTTATAAAAGGAAGAATCTATGTCAGGGTAATATGTTCATTTAACCTTAAACTATAACTGTACGACAGTGTGAATTTTCTCTGGAAAGGTGTGTTTCTGGTACAACACCCCTACACCACAGTGAAACCACCCCTACAGACAGGGAATTACATGCGATTTATTATACAACTATTCGTTAATTTCAAATACATCAAAATTTCCAGTAATTTAAATTAAAAAAAAGCAAATATGTTAATATTAATTTGAAAATTTGAAGTGCTCAAATATTTGTACTAGCCTACAAACAGTAGTATTGTCCCCTTGAAAATTACCCACAAAAGTAGAGCACTATAATATGCTGCTTAACCTTCATTGCAACAAGCCGTGTCATACAGTGAATACTAACAGCAGCAAGAACTGACCACTTTGCAGTGAAGGGCACTACATGAGGCCATCTGTTACTGGAAATAGGACCACAAATGCCACTTAAACAATGCGACAACCTTTCCAGTCCAGTATGTGGGTCCCAGAGAAGGCTTGGATGAGAATATACAAGTAAACCTACATATCTTCAGCACAGCCTTAAAGCAACTAACCAATTAATTCCAATGTTTACAATTTGAACAGGTGTGTGGAGTATCTCATTAAGCTTCAGATATGCATATTTAGTATTTTGAATCGAACTGCTTTTTTGATACCTTTACGACTGATATGTCTGGGTTTGATGAGCATGGAAAGAATGAAATACTTACTTACAGGTGCCAGATAGCCTACATATCGACAAAAGATCGAGATAGCGAAAAATGTGGGTCAGGAGTTCGTGCTGAAAAATAAATAAATAAAGATGAATAAAGGATCATAGACCGCTTTAAAGATAGAAGGTATGAGAAAACCAAAACGGACACCAGCCCAACAATGTTAGACAGTTTCAGTAATGAATGCAGATAACAGCAAAAGATTGTGCAATTCAGTTAGTGTGGATATGCGAGCAAAAGACTGCATATTAATGATAATGAGGATAAAAAAATTATGGCAACTAGAGCACGTTCACTGACATCAAGCCCCTGTTCCCTCTCGACCCAACTTTATTTTCTCTTTACACCTGAGTTGCTTTAGAATGTTATTTGGGTGCACGTTAAGGAACCCCAGGTGGTCCAAATTTCCGGAGCCCTCGACTACGGCGTCTCTCATAATCATATAGTGGTTTTGGGACGTTAAACCCCACATATCAATCAATATCATTCAAATCTTTAGGATGTTGAATAAAAAACTCTGTCTTCAATTTAAGTTGCACAGTCAGTGCTATGACCTTTCATTAGAAGCATGCCATCATGTACAGCGACAATGTACAGAGGCGATGCAGAGAGTCGATACTAACTGGTAGTGAATGAAATCCAGCCCGTGATGGGAGGAATGTTTCTTCCTTGCAACTTGACCAAGATGTGACCGCTGTGATGCTCTGTTCATCACTTTCAGAATCCACAGACTCTGGCCTTTTAAAGGTCCCCACAAGCAGCACCGCATCGATTTGAGCGTGGTAGTCAAGGTGGGCATGGTGGAACTCAAGTCGCAGAACCCTGAACCGATATGGAAATGCCAATTCATAAACATAACTAGAGTCTCGTTGATACTACAGTTGCACTTGTATTACAGCTGAAAAGACACAAACACACGAAGGAACACAGGACGTGTAAACAGCTTCTGTCGGCTAACCTTTAGGTAGTGCACTGCAGATATTCAAACAGAGCTCATAAAACTTGTAACGACCATACTTTGTAATGGCTGCTACCACATCGCATTCTCTTTATCCAACATAATACCACACACAATTATTGGCTACATTGCACCCTTAGCATGAGCGATGATCATAAATGAATACGGTCTAAGAGGAAGAAGCCTTAAAAATGCGGACTATAGATTCAGCAACAAAACCATGAATCAAATAGAGTAAAAGGAGAGACGACTGACCTGGTAACAAACGTGTCTTCCAATGACAGTGGTCTCGGCCAGGCACAAGCCTCGGCACCTTTTGTGGGCTTTCCCACCCACAACTCCTTCCATCTGGTGAATGAGTAGATAAGAGAAGAATAAAGCAAACAGGCTAGACACAGAATAAAGTGTTACTTATTCCACGCATTAGTCAGAAACATGCATTGGGTCACACCATCATAGACTGTGTAGGCATAATTTTAAACACTGGCGAGAGTAAGCTGGCCCACCCTGCACAAGACTAACATAGCTATATAGAGTTTCATACAATAATACCTAGAGAGGAATCTGGTGCTGCGATCGTGTACACCTATGGGAATTATGGGAAGTACAGGCTTCTGATTGGATCAGGTTAACTAGTGAACTGTCTACAGACCTTTTTCTACAGTTTCAGTTTCGTTCTTCGCACAACGCGGGTAAGTGCGGTGCGGTGAAAGAGGCTGAAGCAGTGCTTTTGTTGTTCGAAGAGATTGACGACCACTAAATCTCCTAATTTGCTGCGACATTGGAGCTTTGTGAGTCATATTTGAGAGCTTAAACGAAGCATGATCCACTCACCGCTGCACCTAGATGTAGCGTCTCATGCCAGTGCAGGATGTTGCCTCGCGTTCCCGTTTTTCACGAGCGCGTCTTTCCTATACTCGTTTTAAATCGACTGCAAAGTGATGACGAAGCTAAGTAGATGCACCGTCACGCTCCGCTGACTCCACTTCACAACAAAACCAGAGGTGCGTTGGTGGCAGACCACTGGGACAGATGCACCTAGCGTCGCAGAAGACAAAACGATAAGTGTTTCTCACTTAATACTGTACTCTTATTTGCATAAATAGATTATGCATACTTTTGAGAGAAATACAAGCATGTTTATTTTCAAGTGTTGTAAAAAATAATTAAATAAATCTTGATGCAAAATCTGGAACGCGATGGCAGAGCGATGCTTACCCTGATGGTCGAATTTGCCCAGGTTTCACTTTCTTCGCCTGGTCACAAAAACTTTTTACAATAAAGTTTGTATACAAATAATTGAAGCAAGTTTCCAATAAATTTAAGTTCATATCACTTTGTTTTGCACTCTGAAAAGAAGCGTCGCAAATCTCAAGAACGTAATTCATTTGAAGTGGATCTGAAGCCTGTACTTCCCATAATTCCCATGGGGGTACAAGCGCCGCTGATAGAGCCAGCGCAGACACTAGCGCCTGATTCCCTCTAGGCATTATTGTATGAAACTCTATGCATAGCTACAAAAGGAGTGTTGCAACAGTCTTTGCCAAGACCTCCTGTAGTTCGCCCTCCCCCTGCTCTCTCATCACTGCATTATTTGTACCAGAAGACAACCTATTTGTAGAATGCTAATAGACATAATTACAGCTGGAGACACGAAGGTGCACAAAAGGGCAAGGAGAATGCATGGTGACGTAACTGTCATTTTGTGTTCTTTCATTGTGTGACAACAACAGTCTTTCCAAGATAAAAAGCAGGAAGCAAAAAATTTGTGGCAGCAATAGTGGTAGCAGAAATACAGAAATAAGAGGCAGCAAATAGAAAATTAGATGGGCCCTGTTAGAGCCCTAGTTGGCCCTACCACTCATTTTCGCAGTTGCATATGCGCACGGTGATGCACTCTGTACAGCTGCAAAGAACAGGACATTAGGCAGGTGTACTTTTAAATGCCAGAAAAATGTGTCAGCAAGTAGTATTGTTTGAGCTGTGGTTAGTAGACAGGATTTAAACACGCCAATAAACAATGACCGATCCATGAGCTTTCTTGCACACCAACCTGTTCTTGAGGCGATCATAGGCCAGAATCCTCACAACACTCCCAGGGTTGTAAGTCTCAAAAACAGTGACTGTGGCTGGGTACACGTGATGTTCGTACTGAAGCTCTGCCAGAGAAGTGCAGACACAGCATTCTTACACTCACTCACTCACTATGACTGAGCCAATGGGTAGGAGCTATAGTGAAGCCTGAGAGGCACGTCAATGACAAAGCTCCATGACCATAGAGTACTCTAAAAAAGATGCAAAATCAGGCCTACAGAGTTTATCTAAACCACGGCACAAAGGCAGTCTTACAATATGAGTTATAAGCTAATTGTGACACTGTCTCCCTCTTCCCTCTTTCGAGTAGCGCTTTCTCTCTTTCGTCAGATGTGACTGCACCTGAACCACACTGCACAGAACTCAAGAATGAAAACACTCCATATCAAAGCAACTATAAATGACGGCCATACATAAGTTACCAAGTGGAACTTGTCACTACATCATGTTACTGAGTTAGTCATCCAATATTTCTTTAAAACACAATATGCACATGTAACTACACATTACTGTGCCCCGTCAAAAGGAAGTGAAATAAAACTTGTTGCTGGGCTAGTTGGTGCACAATTAAAATATAGGAAAAGGGCACAACACGGAACAAAAACGTCGACCAGCAAACAAGTACTATCATCATCAAATGAAACCCGAACAGCAGCACGACTTTGAAATGGCATAGTGTGGGCTGTCTAGTTATCACGATTGACAGGTGCGCACACCCTGTTGGGCAGCTCTACGCATATATACGCGCCTGTCCATGGTGATAAGTAGACGGCACATACTATACCATCACGAAGGTTTGCCGCTGTTCGAGTTTCATTTGACATATAGTACAAGCCCTTGTACTTGTTCCCTCGTCAACATATTTGTCCCATGTTGTGCCACTTACCATGTATTTTAACAAAGGGAACAAGTGAGACCAACCAGATGGGTGACAGCTGCCCATTTTCGCACACATCACAAACACTAGAGACAAATCAAATATGAGAATACATTTTTATTCAAGACAAGCCACTAGGGCAAAGTGTCGCGGCAGCAAAATAATACAAAGAGTATATTTACGCACAATGAAAGCTGACAACCACCACCAATAGCACTGAAGTGAGCCCACACAGCCAGGGTAATATTTTGGACTCATATATCTTGTGAATAAAGTCAATGAGAATATATGATATTCAAACCCTGTTTCGACTGACATGAGCACTCTTCAATAAATTATTGTCGTCAAAGCTGAGACTGGCGTTCCTTTTATGTTTCGAAAATGAGCTTTTATAAAAGAAGTCGCTTTTTTCACTATTTCTTTTCCTTTTCTACCCTGCTTGTCGGAAAACTATCTTTCAAAAAATGCTGCAAAGGCTGTTTGTTATAACTGACACTGTTCTCATGTTCCTCTGTGAAATGGAAACGTGCTTAGGCACATCGAACTTAGCAAACTTTTATTTCGGCCATGTTTGCCATTTTTTCCCATTTTTTTTTCCAACTTGACGATCGCATAAAAAAAGCACTATTGCATATTAAAACCAGCAGAAAAAGCTTTCTATGCAAAGTTTATAATTTGCATTAAATTCAGCCGTAAAGTTCGAAAATGTCGTGGTAAGCAACAACGGAACCCCCAAACCTCCCACTTCAATTTTTTTTTAGGTGTGCTAGGAGGATGTTTTGGAAATCAAATTTTTGGTTTTGTGCAGTTTGAATGTGCCCACATAGCATATAAAAGACCCAGCCAAATATCGATCAAACATGCATGTTCTATTGTTTATAGAATCAACCACCAGCATGTCAAAATAAAGCAGAAAGGAAAGAAGAAATAAAAAAGGCAGGAACAAGAAAAGCATCTGGTTGGCTGCCCTATGCTACAAGTATCGTAAAAAAAGGAGAAGGAATGAAGCTCCAAAAACTTCATGCTAGACAGAAAGACAGACAAAGAACTTTATTGCGTCCTGAGAAATGCTACTCTTTAAAATCAACGTCACGGGCCGCTCCGACAAAGGAACAGGAGACTGGAACGGGGAGGCCTGGCCTCCCCGCCACATCGTGGGCTCTCTGGACAGCATAATCCAACTGCCATGCCTTATTTGTTGTTTTGCCTTATTTACCCACCTGTTACAGTGTACAATGAAACGATTTGCTTCAATATACTGAAAAATTATGCATACACATTTTCGAACAGTTCTTAAATTCTCAAAAGCGGTGGTGGATAAGGTGTTCAATATAAAGCCTTTGGCCCTGACTAAGTGCAGGGGCAGGTTGGTTCGATTAACCTGCACCACATGAAGCGATTCATGAGATGCCACACGCTGTCATTCATTTCAACCGCACAGCAACACCATCCTCTGAACCATGCTGTTTGTTTCCAAACACGCAGGAGAGGTGGACCGCTTGTCCCCGATCTTCCTGAACCTTCCCAGTATAACGACATCTTGGGACAAGCGCGTGGTTTCAAGCTTTAAGTTTACTTCTGTACGTAAGTAAACACAAAACATGTGCAAACACTGCAAGGCCTCTCAGCCCAAGGCTGGAAGTGGGTGTTAATCAGCAGCAGAGCAGATGACACAGCACAAAGGGGCATGCATCGTTTGCATCCCACTTACACATCTGCCATGTTCATGCATAACAGGATACATCAACGCTTCATCCGCCGACCATGTGTCTATTTCAGCGCCTTTCTATCTTATGCGGATAGTCCAGATTGGTCAGACAATGCAACACCTTCCTGATGTTGGCACACTGCCATTTGTTTCTGATTCGCCACAGAAGTGGAGCATCCCAATTTCTTAACTTATTTTGCCCCAACGAGAACTGGTTCAGAGCAGTGCAGTTGAATCCCACAGACCTAATGTGCTGTAGAATTTCATTTATAAGCATCCACACAAGCCTTCATTTTATGATGACAGTATGAAGAGCATATATAGTACATGACATGCAAATGCACATTCTAATTTATTTTATTGCCCTATTCACAGCATTCTTCTATGCAGGTTTCGTTGAACAGTTCTTCTGCTTAATAACTTGACACTAACTGTGCAGCTACAACACTCACCACTTGTCTGGAACTAGATTGAATGTCTACAAAAAAAAAAAAAAAAAATTTTTTTTCATCCCTCATCCCAGCATCTTAAGTGCGTCGTTAGAAGGCTTTTGGCAGGCAACAGTAACATCACCGACACATGCATGAACATGAAACAGGATACTAAAAACGAAAAACACATGCAGTACCGATTGCCACAACTGTAGAACGGTAGCGTTTGTTAGAGAAAAAATTAATGGTTTGATGAAAAATCATCTGGTCGGGACGAAGCGAAAAATACAAACGAAATTAAATAGAGCCCGACCGTCGCTTTTAATGTTTTAAAACCTTTTCATTTTGGTCGGCGCTATTTCATTTTGTTTGTATTTCTGCAAAACCAGATAACAGAAACCAACAACCGATATCAGAAACTATTAGGGATTACGTGTGTCGCACGGTGTACTTTTACTCGCCATTGAATTTCTCGATCTCTATTGGGCTCCTTCCGCAATGACGAGGCCGCCCATTGCGATCAAGAACTTCAAGATCTGGATCGGGCCGGATCGCTATCTGAAGCGATCGTGATCAACATTCACAACACAAGAAGGTGCGGGTGACAATACTTGCCGACATAATCTTGGCTCTTGACGTGCCTTTCTTTCGGCAGAATGGTAATGAAGTTCCTGTCAGATATTGAATGCTGCAGCCACCACGGTCCGTACGTGCGCTGTGAAAAATCAATGCCGCATTTCAGTCACGGGCTCTCCACTAACTGACCGCTGCCTACGCTTTCCCAGCGAGGTTTTAAGAGGTGCGAGTTAAAGCTTAGTACCGATCTCATTCAAGCTAAAACACGCTCCAGGGGGAATACCCACAAACAAGCAAGAAGAGAAACGTACCGCCGAAAACGTCTCCGAATAGTCTCCGTACTCCGGAAACACCTCAGGCGCTCCGATTACGTTTAACGCAACGTACGATATGCTGTTGTAACTGCCATACTGAGAACTGTAATCAGTGACTTCTACCACGTCTTGGCATATTTCATCGTCATCCATTTCTATCTTGGAATGCTGATAATAAGATTGTCAACAACTGTCACAGTCAGGTCGGCCGAGGCCATCTGCAACAGTGTCGATGACGACAGGCCTCCCAACCTCGGCCAGAGGATGCGTGTATAGGTAGGGTGCCTTGACGCGGGGGCGCGCGCATCGAGGCACTCTATGTATAGGTGTTCTATGTGTACTGTTTGAGGCGTGGTTTGAGGCCAGGACGGGAGTATTGCGAACCAAGACATATCGGGCCAAATACGAAGGGTTAGACACGGTATGCAGTGCATGTGAAGAGGAGGAGAAAACTGCCAAACACTTGATAATGTTCTGTAAAGGGCTTCACCCTATAGTTCAGGATGATGACGCAGAGTTTTTCAAAGCACTGGGATTTAGGGACAGGGATGGCAAAATAGACTTTAAGCGGGTATAAATAACTAGAAGAAGGTTATCTGATTGGTGGCTAAAGTCAAGGCACGAGTGAAAACCCTTCACTGCAAAGTACCAGTCCTCAACTTCACTATTTAAAGGGGAAAAAAAGATAAATCTAGTGGTTAGTTCACTAAGTATACAGCTAGATAGCGTTAGCCGCCGCCCAATCTAAAGGGTACAATGTACTAGAAATGCATTGAAGAACGGCTATTTGGGCTAGTTGGTTAGAATCCACGGTGATAAGGGCTGCAGCGCGAGCACGAAGGTGCTAGAAGAAACGTGAAGCGAAAGGCGAGGCAAGGAAAGCAAAGAGGACAACACGAGCGCTGACTATAAACTGAATTTTATTTTTCGCAGCACACATGATAATATATACAACAGGCAACCTTTTAACAGCAAACGTGAGCAACGTGACATATTCTGGGGAAGTGTGATAAAAAGAAGGTACAATGATAAAATGGCTAACCCTTATCTAAAAGCGCGAACTCTTCGTCATGCAAGGCCACCGAAGGCTGGCTCACGCATCCGTCACCATGTTTTCTAATATAATACGCCTCAGCTATTTCACGGGTTCTTTTGTCCATATTGCCACCTGGTGTTCTGTGCCAGTGAACAGTGGGTCAGTTCTGTGCCGGTGAACGAGGAAGACGAAGACGAGCAACCCGTGCCAGCGGAGACGTCCTTCTTGGTCTCCGAGATTTTTGACAGTCGCGTCCCTTTATACGTTCCTTCGAGCTCTTAGCACGTGACAATATGGAGTACCAGCACACTCACGCCCGGAAATCGAGGCTGGCACCCGCAGCTTTTACAGTGCAAAACGAGGTTTGAACTTATTCCTTTGCATACATCATTCATATGCTCTCCTAACCTTTTATTAATGCACCGCCCAGTTTGGCCTATATAACAACGACCGCACGTTAAAGGAAGCATGTAGACAACACCAACTGCGCAATCTATAAATTTATTTATGTGTTTTACGGCGCATGTCCAACTTTTTGTGGCGATTCCACTGAGGCTCTCATCCGTCATTCTGCAAATCTGGCCTACTTTGCACGGGGCAGATAAAACTACATTTACACCATATCTCGAGCCTACCTTTTTCAAACCATGAGATATATTGTGGAAGTATGGAATGACTGAAACTCTTTTTCGCACTTTACTTCCTCCTGCCTTTTCTTGTTTTTGTTTGATTTTCTGCAACAAAGTTTCGCACCCTGAAGAAATTACAGATTTTGGAAATCCCGCTGACAGAAGTCTGTTAATCTGCATTGTTACACTATCAGTCATCTTGTGTAGGCATGACTTATATGGGCCAGCACTTACAGCCGACGAAACAATAGCTCTCTTGACCAGTTTTGTGAGGCAGGAAGCATAGTTTAACAAGGGTTTAACACTTCGTGGTTGGTATTCCCAGCATACGTGATTTGGAAACAATGTAATATTAATATATCTAAGAACCTCAATGATCCCTGTTGGGGAACTTCGCAAGTGAAGTCTAGCCCACCTCCATGTGTTTTAAAAGCAGTCAATACAAGATCAGCCGGGTTTTTCTTATTCGTTACGGAAGGCAGCAGAAAAATTAAATAGTCGTCCACATATCTGAAGGCGGTTTGTACCAAATCTACGAGTTTTTTATTGAGGATGGTGTCAATCTTGGTAAGAAAAATGTCACTCAGAACCGGGGCGACCCTTGACGTAATGCAGACTCCCTTACGTTGTCTATAAAGAGACCCTCCCCAAGAAACAAAAGTGGAATTCAAGTAGAAAAGCAAAAGTTCCATGAAAGAATTAACACTAATGCCGCTATCATTAATGAACAAATCTTCATGATTATCCTTGGTTATACAATCTCTTACATAATTTAACAATGTGCTCTGAGGAATGGAGTAATACAAATCTGCAACATCGATACTTAAAACAGGGCACCCAACTGGATTATGATCTTCGAGATATCTGAACACTTCTTGCGAATTACGGACGTGGTAGGGGTCATCCAAGACCAAACTAGATAGATGTTTCTGCAAGTAACCTCCCAAAAGCTTCTGCCAGGTTCCTCTTTCAGAAACAATTGCACGCAAAGGTTGTTCCGGCTTATGACTCTTAATAAATAGTGAAAAAAAAAAGACAATTCTCGGGAAGTAGCTTTCTGTACGCTACGGGCTAAACCTAGCAAATTCACAGCCTGGAGGCGAGCTATAGCATCTTTCTTGATATTTGTACTTTTTGCTGTAACTTGTACAAAGTGTTTCACTACAGCATGTGACGCTTTTTGCAAAAAAAGACATCATTGTGTAGAATAACGAAAACACCTTCCTTATCAGCGTGAAGAACACGCAAATTATTTGTGGACAAGAACCTAGAGAGTGGTTTTAGACACATGACCGATCTTGATCGAGAGCCACCTCTCACGAGGATGTCGATGCATTCCGAAGTGCACCGACAACGTTCATCTACAGGCACACGAGCTGACACATTCCTAGCGAGAGCCACCTTTTCAGCTCCTCGGAGGGAAGGTTCCAGGCTGAACCTCGGTCCCAGACGAAGCATCTGTTGAAATTTCTCAGGAATAGGCGTGTCACCCAGGTTGATGAACGTCCCCGCTGGTCCGGAACGCCTGCTTCGTCTTGGCAGGATAGGCCGCACACGATTTTACAAAGACTCAGTTGCCAACTCAGACTGATAGTACCTCTGTCGGTACGCTCTCTCCCGGTGACGACCAGTCAGGAACCGGCCGCATGAAACCCGGAGGCAATCTCTGTAAAAGCGCACTTGTCTCCAGCACTCAGACCGGATGATATCTTGCACATCCTTTTTGCGCGTCCTCTGGACGGAGCTAATCCCCCCCCCCCCCCCCCCCCCCCAAACGTTGCGAACTTCTTCCGAACATGTCCCTTGCCGAATATTACACGACGCTGCACACGCTCGACATAAACACACTGCAATCCACGAAACCAAATTGGCTGGGTCTTGAGCATACGGTCCAAAAAAGTAGGACTGCCCTGTGTACTAGAAATGCATTGAAGAACGGCTATTTGGGCTAGTTGGTTAGAATCCATGGTGATATGGGCTGCAGCGCGAGCACGAAGGTGCTAGAAGAAACGTGAACTGAAAGGCGAGGCAAGGAAAGCAAAGAGGACAACACGAGCGCTGACTACCAACTGAATTTTATTTTTCGCAGCACACATGATAATATATACAACAGGCAACCTTTTAACAGCAAACGTGAGCAACGTGACATATTCTGGGGAAGTGTCTGATAAAAAGAAGGTACAATGATAAAATGGCTAACCCTTATCTAAAAGCGTGAACTCTTTGTCATGCAAGGCCACCGAAGGCTGGCTCACGCATCCGTCACCATGTTTTCTGATATAATACGCCTCAGCTATTTCACGGGTTAATTTGCCCATATGGCGTACCAGTACACTCACGCCCGGAAATCGAGGCTGACACCCGCAGCTTTTACAGTGCAAAACGCGGTTTGAACTTATTCCTTTGCATACATCATTCATATGCTCTCCTAACCTTTTATTAATGCACCGCCCAGTTTGGCCTATATAACAACGACCGCACGTTAATGGAAGCATGTAGACAACACCAACTGCGCAATCTATAAATTTATTTATGTGTTTTACGGCGCATGTCCAACTTTTTGTGGTGATTCCACTGAGGCTCTCATCCATCATTCTGGCCTACTTTGCACGGGGCTGATAAAACTACATCCACACCATATCTCGAGCCTACCCTTTTCAAACCATGAGATATATTGTGGAAGTATGGAATGACTGCAACTCTTTTCGTGTCAAAGGACTCCCCCCCCCCCCTTTTTTTAAGAGAAACTTGGCCATATTCATCTGCTTGCAACATGCATGTACAGAAAGAGACTGAGAAAATTTGGAGGCTCGTCTGGCATTTTGGCGCAGCGTGGCGCAATATGGTTTTGGCAGCTCGGCGCAAAAGCGGGGAATTGTATCAAATTCGCGTAATTGGCACAGCTGTTGTACCCCTTCAACATGCATAGCTATTTTTATGTTAATGTTTTTATGTTAAATCACATCTAGACTTGGAAGAATGTAAGCCATTGTGTGGCTGACTAAATGTATAAATTCTGCAAAACATTTGCAGGGCGAAGGACAACCAGGGCGTTGCGGAAGTTTAACAGAGGAGGACCATTGGTGCATTTTCTAAATAGTGTAAATATTATGGAATGTGTGAATAAATTTTCATTCTTTCATATTTTTTTTTTCTCTACCATTGTTTTTATCTTGTATGTGCATGCATTTGAGTGTGCATTAATGTCACATTCACACTAGGTAATCCAGCCTGTGCTGTTTCCACTGTGTTGTGAAATTGCAATTAATGAAGTGCAGTGTGATGACAGCCAGCCTTCTACAGGATTGTCATTTTCTACTTGCATCCGCAGAAATGTGATAATCATGTTTATAGGTCAGCCAAGAGACTGCAATTACTACACTACTACTTAGCTTCAGTTGGCTCTCTCTGTATACCAACCACTGGCTGGCTGAAATGCAGTTAGCAATTTAGCGTCAACCAAGTGCTTACCAGAAACTAATGGCCAGCCATATTAAATTGGCTTACCAGGTAGAATGGTGACTGGCTAAACACCAGCTTTTGTCACTG